CATGTGTGTTCACATGTGGAATTCCCAAAGAATGAATTAAAGGAAACAAATGTGACCCACATACACAATATACTTACTCAGTCATAAAAACAAGATATCATAATTTAATATGCCAACGGACACAAAATTCATTACATGAAGTGAAATAATTCAGACATAGAAAGAAATACTGCATGACATTATGCCATGTAGAACTGACAAATGCAAAAAGTTGATTTCATAGAAACTGGGGATAGAATGGTGGTTATCCGAGTGTGGGAAGTCTAGACATACTGCTTGAAGGAAAGGAAACATTCTCCTGCCTTACATAAACATAGGTTAAAGAAGAACCTACGAGACTGGAACCTATAAACACAGATAGTCACAGGGAGAAAGCTCCATGCTATTGATTGGGCCATGATATCTTTGCATGGGTGCCAAAAACACAGGTGACAAAGCCAGACTAGAAGAGGAGACCTCAGGGGCTCCAGATATAACACAATGACAAGAATGGTGTTTACTCTGAATGGATTAATACATATGTTGAGCATGTAATTTCTATGCATTAATAAAAATGCTAAGTGATTAAGGAGATAGAAACAGTCCCATGGTTATAACATTAGTCCCAAGGGACTAGGAAATTGACCTCAGATAAGTAAGCACAGAGCAATGGAAACAATTTTGTTGTTGTTGTTGTTTTGTTTTGTTTTCTGTTTTTTTCTTTAAAGGAAATTCTGTCATTGGAAGCATCATGAAAAAAGCTAGAAAAATGATTGAGATTAGATAGGTAAAGACAAACAAAGCTGCCAGATCTCACAAGTGGGGTCCATGTAGATCAAACTCATAGACGTATACAGGAATATACAGACGGAGCATAAGTTATTCAGGAGATAGTAATTTTAGATTCAGAGGAAAATAATAACTTTCTAAGATCAGTTGCACAATTTAGTTATCTTCCTTTGAAACACATGAGAAGAAATTCCAGATATCTCACCACAATATACAGTGCTCAGAACAACATATGGTGCCTTAGAAGTGTATACATTTATGAGTTGTCAAAATAGTATATAAATAAATTCTAAGTTAAAAAAATAAACATTGTGTGGATTTTTGTTGTTGCCTGTATGTTATTTTAGTAACAATGGATGTTCCTTTCTGTTTAAATAAGCCCAGACCCTGGTCATTCTTAAATTATATTTGGAAAATGTATGAGAAACAGCTTAATCAAGTCTATGCCTTGAAATTAACTTACTGAACTTGTTGCTAATAAAAACCTGAAACTAAAAGAAACTTCACAGAATTCAAGAAGAAACTTTAAAATTACTTACAAACATGCAATTTGCTTGAACATCCATTGTTTAGAATATTCTGCTTTCAACTTTTCTCAAGTATCCGGTCTCCATGGTGAGACTTAGTAAAAGGCAAGCCTGGTGTATATCAGTCGCTGTCACCTTTGTGGGTAGAAGGGCATTATTATTCTGTGTAATTATGAGACCTCTCTAGCTTACCGAGTGTGCACAGGTTGATCTGCTCCATGACACCTTTATTGCACTGTGTCAAGTAGCGGTCCCCCGAGGCGTTGGTCTAAGCTGCAGTACATCACTGCCACCTGATGGCCGGATGGAGGTTGTTACAAGGCCCTCAAGGGTCTTTACAGGTGGAGGCGCTCTTGATGGTTACTGTAGTAGAGCAAGCAATGCTTCTTAAACGTTAGACTGAGATAATAATGCGTGTTGTGATTCACAATGGGTAGTGATTTTGATAGGTTGTGTTTAAGTGTTCATGCCATGATGGTTTAATTAATGTTCAAGTAATGATGGTTTGAAGAATAAAATGGAGGCTGAGATAAATGAGGATATATCAAAACCTACTGAAACATGATAGTTTGGATTAAATAAACACTTGAAGGTATAATATAATTCATACCTATGACGACATAAGAATATGTAGATATTATGAATGGAAGTTCAGCTTTAGTATTAAGAACTTAGAACACTTAGATTAACTTCTATTGTATGAAAGGATGCAGGATCAAATTTAGAAGAAGGGGGATTTATATTGTATAAAATGGTTAAAGACTGTGTATGTCAAAGAAATTAAAACATCTAATAGCTGGTGTTAGGATGATGGTGAGGTCTCATGATGTAGATACTTAAGGTACTTTAGGATGACTATCAGTCTGAGGTCCTGGGATGGGTAAGATGAGTGCAGGAAAAATCTGGAAGTGATAAGGACCTCCAAGTTTAAAAGTTATGTTTTGAGATGAAAACGTTTGGTCTTAGCTATAAGGCTGAAAAGTTATATAGTTAAAGATTTCAAACAATGTGTCAATCTAGCATCATGCAAGAGACAAGAGAGGACAGGAGAGACAAAGCGGCAGGAGGAGGAGGGGAGAAAGGAAAGGTAGGAGTGAATGTGGGAAGGAAAAAAGTTAGAGAGCAGTGTCTAGTGATGACTGGAGTTAGGATTCTGAAGGCAGAGGTTACTTCCTGTGTTGCAGTGGTGAGAGATGTAGAGAAATTATCTCTACGAGTCACAGTTGAAGACAACCTCACATTTAGGTGCATGATGATCTCTTTTCCCTTTTTAGAAACGTCTACAGAAAAATATTATAAATTGTGTGTAGCATATATTTTTGTGGTTTTACGAGACAGGGTTTCTCTGTTTTGGAGGCTGTCGGTCCAGCACACACCTTCAATCCCAGCACTTGGGAGACAGAGGCAGGCAGATCTCTGTGAGCTCGAGACCAGCCTGGTCTACAAGGGCTAGTTGCAGGACAGACTCCAAAGTCACAGAGAAACCTTGTCTCAAAAAACAAAAAATTTTTAAAATTAGAAACAAGCTTCTTTTACATGTCAATCCCAGTTCCCTCTCCCTCTCCTCCTCCCCTACCAACACTGACCCCTTTCTGCTCCCCAGGGAGGTTGAGACCTTCCATGGGGTATCTTCAAAGTCTGACATATCATTTGGAGCAGAGCCTAGACCCTCCCCTGTGTGTCTAGGCTGAGAGAGTATTCCTCTGTGTGGAATGGCCTCCCAAAACCATTTGTGTACTAGTGATAAATACTGATCCACTACCAGAGGCCCTGTAGATTAACCCGACCTCCAAACTGACATTCACATTCAGGGGATCTGGAACACTCCTATGCTGGTTTCCCAGCTATCAATCTGGGGTCCATGAGCTCCCCCTTGTTCACATCAGCTGTTTCTGTGGATTTCTCCAGCCTGGTATTGACCCCTTTGCTCATAACTCCTCCCTCTCTGCAACTGGATTCCAGGAGTTCAGCACTGGAGAAGTTCACCAAGATGAACTCTCAATTCTGAACATTCTTAAGGAAAGGATGGCATTATTTTCTAATGCAAACTTTAGAAAATTCTAGAGGAAAGATAATTGCAGTGCCATAATAAAAACATTTTATTTCCCTTTCTGACAATGTGTTTCCAGAGAAACTATCTGTGATATAGTATGTGATAACTTAACAAGACATTAGACTAAATGACACAAGACATTGAAGGATATTGTTATTGAGTGTTGGCCTAGGTATTCTCATTATGGGAGATTCTAGAATAACCCATGTGGAATTATCCTGAACTGAGTACATTGACCTTAGAGGAAGGATACACAGAAATGCCTAATATGCAAAACCATGCTATGTAAAGGGTTCAGCAGATTGCAGATTTCTGCCTGTGAAGGAGAGGAGTACACCAATAAAAAGATAAGGAAGAGCATATCTTATAAATGGATGTCAATAGTGCCTACTTAAGATAAAAATTTCACTGTATGACCTTAATGTTGGATTTTTACTTTTAAAAAAGAGATTCATTAAGATGATATAAAATCAGTAGCAGTTGGAAACAATCCTCCCTAGAGCTCTTGATGTTCCTGTACCAAGAGCTTGAAATAATCGAGTTGGCATGCTATGAAGGAAGAATGCCTTCTTTTACCCCAAGGCTCTTTGCTTTCAAATTCTAAAGATGAAAGATCTAAGGCAATTTCATTTTCACTGCAGCTCTTCATGCATCACATAGTAATCAAAGTAGCTTACAGAGCACTGATAAGTAAAATAGTCATTTTTTCTCCCAGACCAAGCTACTGAAAGAAGATAGCACATTAGTGCACACCAGTCTGTTAACCATATTAGGAAATGCATACATGCACACAAATGAGGTGTTATGACCAGGAGAAACATATATTCTTATAAGAATATATACTCCAAAGAATAAAATGTGTCTTAATAATTTAAGAAAAATGACCAATGGGACATTCATAGATATGAACAATTTAAGCTTCTTCCGTGGAGAAAAGTGGGTTCCTTGAAGACACAGGGACATGTTAGACATGTATAGATGTTTCTGCATCAAGGCTCAGATGTTGTTACAGCTAGGCACAATGAAAATCTTTGGTTGTTCCAACTGCTTGGAAGGATAATCAGGCGCATTTCAAATCTGAGACTGAGGCAACACAGCAAGACTATTTATCCAAAAGACACAAATAACAAAAGTTCAAATATTTAATAGCTGGACAATAGGGATTGATTAGGAAGGCCAGTGTTCTATGATTTTTAAAATTACAATGAAATATAGAAGAATTTGATCTTGGGAAGCCCCAGTATAGTTTTACATAAATGACACCATTGTTGAAAACGTTAGAGAGCCAATGAAGCATATTGTTTGTATTTTGACAAATGTTCAATCAACTCCACTGTTAAGATATGAGACACAGAGCCAAGACACGAGTCAAGATGTTAAAGAGAGTTGCTTATTTGTTGTGATCAGGATTGACCCCAGGGTTCTCCAATTGTGAAACGATGACTTAGAAGTGAGCTACATCTCCAGGCCAGAATAGTTCATATATTAAGGAAAACATGGTAGGATCCCAAGGCCATCAGCTTCCAACAGGACATTTTCACCAAAAATCTATGTAAGGAAAGGCAAAAGGAGGGGTAAGGCATAAGAAGGAAATGCTTATGCTGGACAGGAGTGGATGACATCTATCTTCTTGCACATCTAAGTTCACTCACCTAGCACTTTCCATCATGGTAAAACCTAATTCTCCCACGAGATTTCCTAAATGGAGGCATAACAAGCATTTCATTAAGACATTTTATGTTAGGAAATTAAGATACAGCCTATACAGGGAACTTCTTAGAGCAAAAGCCACGGTATTTGCCACTGAAGGTACCTATAATCTCTTTGGAAATAATCTATCTGATTGGACCTGAGTTTGTGATGTATGTGGGGTAAATGCCATAAACTATTCACCTAACACGTTCACCATGTAGCTGAATTAGTAATTAGTGAGATGACTCAGGGTTTGTGTAGTTTCTTCTTTACTCCTTGCACAAAATTACTGAAGGATTGCTGGAATAAGGACTCCAATCTGACACCACAAGGGATGGTTTTCTTGTAAAATATACTGTTGCACACAGATCAAAGCTGAAATCAACGTGACATTGCAATCTGGGTGTCTAATGGCTGATTTCCTGTCATGTAAATCCAAAGATCTGGGTATCAATCCCAGGCAATGGACAAAAGTCTGCTGTTACACTAGTATAGTTAAAAGTTTTAGACATAGAAGTAGCAGAAAATATCTAACATTAGATAAAAGTAAGCTTTGTTCTAAAAATCAAAGTGGTGAGAATTGAAGACATTTGCGAATTTCTTCAGGGAATCTACCAATTATGGTAATATCAAGACTCAGAAAAAGCACCCAAGGGGCACTGTTCAATCTAATGAGTCTACCTTCTACGCCATTATTCCTTCTGTTGCTATGACTGATTGCCGTCTCTGCAAATAAGAGAGAAAGACTGGCTTCATGACTGCTGTACTTGATTGAGTGGACAGAAATCACAATCAAGAAACTTAGTCTTAGTTCTCTCCCCCCACCCACAGAATACTCACAAGCTCTCAATGCATAAGATGCAGGGATTATCATAGGTTACAAAATTGGTACCACAGATGGGTTGCTTTAAGCCAGGGCAAGGGTCCACTGTTTTATTGAACCAGCTCAAATTTACTTTCTTATAAGGACACTTGATCTGAAATTGAGTAGAAGAAAAATATAATTACAGCCATGCTCAAACAACTGGTCACTTGTGGACTGTATTAGGGGTATCTAAGCAAGTCAGAACCACATGCCAGTGTCACGGCTCTTCTATAAAGCAATCACACTAGAATCTATTCACTTGGTCTGATAAGTATCAAATATTGTAGTCAGGAACTCCTAGAGGCTTGGGAAGCTACAGTGAGGGAAAAGAAAGCATCTAAATTCATGAAGGAAACAAAGCTTAAACCACAAGCACTTTGAAAGCAAAAGAATGCTATGCAGCAATTCTATGCAGCCACAAGAGAAATAACCTTTAATTTATCCTTTATTTCACTATCAAACGTGTGTTGGCCCCACAATAGACACAAAGCTGGGCAGGATAGGCAAAAAATGAAAGAAGACAGAAGTTGGTAGGGGAAAGTAGAGGTCTAAGAGAAGTTAGAGAGGGGACCGGAGTAGACAAAATGAAGACACAGTATATCTGTATGGAATTCTTAAGAAATGGAGAAATAAAATAAAAAAAAACAAAAATTTTTGTTTCAGAGCCTGGAGATATGGCTCAGTGTTTAAAAGCACTGGATCACTTACTGCTGTTGCAGAGGACCAGGGTTCAGTTCCCAGTACCCTCACAACAGCTTATAACAGCTGGGGACCAGTTCCAGAAGGTTCAGTGCCCATTTCTGGCTCCTGTGGACATCAGGTGCAAAGAAACAGGCAAAACATGCCCCCAATTTCTTAAAAAATCTTTTAAAAATTGGATTAAAATATGAGTCATGGAAAACCTAGTAGGCAGTTACCTTAATAGTTCCATGTGGTGGCCACCAAACTCGAGCACCTGGAACTAGAGAATACATAAATATATTTACAGAATTTAATTCCTGATAAATTATAACCTAATTTACTGACTGTAGAAAAGAGCTCGAATTCTTTACTAGGTAACAGTGAAGAAACTGAAAATGCTGTCTCATTGATTTATCCACCTCTTTTAAAACATGGGCTGACACTCCTGCTCTATAAACAAGCAGCAGAGGAACTGGCACATCACCCCTTAGGGAGGCTGCCATTCCAGGCTATCAAATGCTTTTGCTCATTAACACTAGCCAAGCTGGAGAGGATTCAGAGCTGGTATAGTAGGTAGGTGAGAAAGATGAGGGAAAACTCAGGACTTTATAATTTTTTTGGTTTGGACCCTGCATTTTATGGGGAGGGAAACAACCCCTTGTTAATGCCCAGTAATTCATGATAGATTTGTGAAAAACTTAGAACTCTGTTCTTAGGTTTCCAGTATGATCTCTTTTCTATGGAGATCACAGAAATTTTGAGCCTCTGGAGATCACTCTAAGGCATTTTCAAATATTTTTGGGGTGAACTCTGGATGGAGACACACTGGGAGCCATTTCTACTGACTACCTCCTTGAATATCAAAGCCTCCTTTTCCCTGTGCTCTAGGTCCCACACCTTCATATAATCATAGACAAGAAAACCAAAACTTGAACTCTCTGACCCAGATCCCACTGCCTCTCTAAGCATGTATGTATAGACAAGCATGTTTGTAGGTGTTTGTACCTATAGTTGTATCCATTTGTCAGTAAAACACTTTTAATTCAAAGCATTTTCTTTCACATTACAATGTGAGCACCCACAAAACTCTGTATTCCTGATGGAAAAGCCAAATTACTCACCAGAGAGGAGCACCAAATGTAGCATGCTGATGAACAAAACTGACCAGAGTACCTGGAAATACTTGACCATTTTCTTCCTGGTATAGCCTTGGAATGGTTCTGAGATGCTGGCTCGGGATACCGCCTTTTGAAACAATTACCCCCAGGAGACAGCATCAGAATGCTAAAACAACTGTTGAAAGACCAACCTACTGCACACTCCTCTTTAAAAAGCCTATGTCACCCCACTTCAAGAATAAATATAATGGTAAAGTTAAACCATGACTAGTCATCTCAACAATCAAAACACCACGGTTATTGAGCTCAGAGACAGACATGTGAACACCAAGGAAATAGAAGTGGATCAGAAGCTCCTATGCTGTGTGCACAATTGCACCATTTAGTGTGGAGACATTTCCATCTCTTGAAAAAGCGTCTCCTCACACCACATACCATCCGCATTTATTTTTGAAAAGGTTCAAAACCAAAATGTTGCCACTAGAGATTTCTTGCCATTACTGGCGAAATAGGGGGAAGGAGTCTATATTTTTTCATGAAGTAGAGATGCAGTTTCTGAATCAAGATAAGACAGGCAGGCAGACTTGGCTCTTGAAATCTTCTGACTAAATATTAAACTCTTTGGGGATATTCTGGGATACTGTGAAGCAAAACAAACAAACACCCACTGAAACTAACAAAAACCATAAACAAAACAAAATAAGCAAACAAAACCCCATCACATGGCCCTACCAGGCCTCCCCCAAGTCTAATATACAGGACATACTGACCCTAGAGAATATCACTTTTTGAAACGATTGGACATTTTTTGCCACAATACCCAGGATTCCAGTCTTGGCTGTTGTTGAGACAATCTTGGGTACCATGGTCTTGCTAAGCACATCACTGTCTTATCCTACCATTTTCTCTAATTCTTTAGGAATGGGGACGCAACAGTAAAAGCTGTGATTTCAAATCACATCAACTTCACTCCTATCCTTTCATGCCCCACGCCACAGCTGAACCACCTTAGAAGGAGGACACTAAGTTATTGAACTCCCTTTTGGTTGATACCTCTTTAAAGCTCAGGTGTTGGGGCCACCCGAGAGGACAGTAGGTAGGAAAAAGCCCAAGGCACTGTGTGCTGGGCCAAGGAGGCCTTGGTAGGTCCATCATGATTCTAGTTAGGTCAAGGTCAGATCTCAGCAGGGGATGTTGAAAAGTACTTGAGGGGGGTGAGAACTGATCCCTGGATAGGGCGGCCAGGGTAGCCTGTGTGAGCATGCACGCCACAGTTGGAAAGAGCATACCCAAATACAGTACACATGCCCCAACAGTTTCTCAGGCAGAGTGAAGAAAACACGAGGAAACACCTAAGGTAGAAAGGGCTGGAGCAGAGATTTGCATTAATGCATGAGATCCACAGATGCCATCTGCAGTGGGTACAGCTTTGTCCCTTAGGCACCCTGTACCTTTGCATTGTTAATGGGGACAGGGTTAGCATGGTAGGGTTCTTTTGACTGCCCGAGTTTCTGCTTCTTCCTGGTGTCCTATAAAGAATCTTCTATGAAGGCAATACAAAATCAAAATGACAGGAAGTCTCACAAGTTAGAAAGAAATGTTAAAAATGTCGACTTGCCTATTTCACTTTTAAACTAACCTGATTGACAGATAATGACACATAACACACCATTTCTGACACCATTCTATCATGCTTTTCAGTATACTTTGTGTTTTGCTTTTTTTCCACGAAAACTAAACTGCCACATTTTCTTAGTTTTAAATAGTCATTTGAAACTGTAGGCAATAGTCCATCACATATGTGAATGACATTTGTATTAACATTTTTCAATTGTTGCTAATATGATGATTCTGAATTTTAATTGTTATTAGAGTTTGAACCAGCTGGGCTAACTAAGTTATGTTAAACCAGGCTTCCTCTTGCCACCACGATTCATTTTTCTTCAGGCAGTAAAGCTTGTAGGACTCCCACAAATAGGAGACATGTTATCAATACATTTTTTTTCATTTTTCAGACCAGTATTAGGCACTGGCTAGACATATTCATGTTCAATGACACATTTCTTTTCTGGTAAGACTTTTTAAACCTCAATATATTTCCATTGCTTTGCTTTATTGCATGATTGTTCCTAAATGATGCAAAGCTTCACTCACAGAAGAAATTTGTGCATCTGTATTTGAAAGTTGAGGTCTTAGGCCATGAGTTTGTCAAGGCTAGTTGAAAGATACGAGTCCACTGTTTCATTTTCTCCTCTTGTGTATATATTTAAGACTTTTGATGTGTGTGAAATGTGAAAAATAATCCATGGTTTTGAAAATAATATGTATTACCTATCAAAAGTTGAAGTCTGTGAGGCAAAATCTGAGTTTTGCTTAATCTCAATTACACTTGGACTCAGCCAATGTGTTCAAAGCTCTGTGATCACATGGCCATGAAACCTTGACTCATATGCAAATTATATCCCCTGTCGCCTTTCAGAGAGTTCTGAAGTTTTTTTCTTTTCTTGAATTTATTTTTTAAACACTTTTTATTATATATTTAAATTAAAACAAGCTTGTTTCCCATGTCAGTCCCAGCTCCCTCTCTCTCCCCTCCACACCCACTACCCCCACCAGCCTCCCAGCCCCCGATGCAATCACCACTCCATTCCCCAGGGAGGGTAAGGCCCATCGTGGGGGATCTCTAGAGTCTGTCATTTCATTCCGGGGAGGGCCCAGGCCCTCCCCTAAGTGTCCAGATTGAGAGAACATCCCTCATTGTGGGATGGGCACCCAAAGTCCTTTTGTGTGCCAGGGATAAATATTGATCAACTACCCAAAGCCCCATAGATTGCCTAGGCCTCCTCACTGATACCCACATTCAGTGGGTCTGGATCAGTCCCATTGCTGGCCTCTTAGCTATCAGTCTGGAGCCCAAGATCTCCCCCTTGTTCAGGTCAGCTATTTCTCTGGGTTTCACCAGCCCAGTCTTGACCCCTTTGCTCATCATTCCTCCTTCTCTGTCACTGGGTTCCAAGAGTTCAGTTCAGTGTTCAGCTGTGGGTGTTTGCCTCTATTTCCATCAGTCACTTGATGAAGGATCCAGGATATTATGTAAGATAGTCGTTAAAATCATTATCAGGGAGGAGCATTTAAAGTAGTCTCTCCACCACTGCTTAGCTTGCCAGTTGGTGTCATCCTTGTAGATTTCTGGAGATGTCACTAGTGCCAGATCTCCCCTCAAACCTAGAATGACTCCCTGTATTATGGTATCTCTCATCCTGCTCTCTATTTTTCCCTCAACTCAACCTTCCTGCTTCCCCATGTCCTTCTCTCCCCTCCTCTTCTCCCTCTCTCCTTTTCCTGGCTCTTTTCCCCCTTCTCCCCCCTCCCTGGTATCCCAATCTGTTCAGGAGATCTTGCCTCATTCCACCTTCTCTGAGGTACCATGCATATCTCTTTTAGGGTCCTTCTGTTTCCCTGACTCTCTGGCAGTGGGATTGCAGACTGGAACTATCCTGATCCATGTCTAAAATCTATATAGGAGTGAGTACATACCATGTTTGTCTTTTTGTGACTGGGTTACCTCACTCAGGATGGTTTCTTCTAGTGCCATCCATTTGCCTGCAAATTTCAAGATTCCATAGTTTTTTTCTGCTGAGTAGTACTCCATTGTGTAAATGTACCACATTTTCACTATCCACTCTTCAGCTGAGGAGTATTTAGGTTGCTTCCAGGTTCTGGCTATTACAAATAATGCTCCTATGAACATAGCGGAACAGACATCCTTGTTGTATGAATGTGCATCTTTTGGGTATATGCCTAAGAGTGGAATTGCTGGGTCTTGTGGTAGACTGCTGCCAATTTTCCTGAGGAATCTCCATACTGATTCCCAAAGTGGGTACGAGTTGTCACTCCCACCAGCAGTAGAGTTCCCCTTTCTCCACATCCTCTCCAGCAGAAACTGTCTTTGGTGTTAATCCACATGCAAAGAAGCTAAAATTATACAATGGAAAAAAGGCATCTTCAACAAATGGTGCTGGCATAACTGGATTCTGGCATGTAGAAGACTGCAGATAGATCCCTGTCTATCCACATGCACAAAACTTATGTCCAAATGGATTAAACACCTCAACATAAATCCAGTCACACTGAACTTGTTAGAAGAGAAAGTGGGAGGTACCCTTGAATGAATGGATACAGGAGACCACTTCCTGAACATAACACCAGTAGCACAGACAGTGAGATCAACAATTAATAAATGGGACCTCCTGAAACTGAGAAGCTTCTGTAAGGCAAAGGACACAGTCAGCAAGACAAAAAGGCAGCCCACAGAATGAGAAAAGATATTCATTAGCCCCACATCTGACAGATGGCTGATCTCCAAAAATCTACAAAGAACTCAAGAAGCAAGTCTCCAAAGTACCAAAGGATCCAATTAAAATGTGGTGTACAGAAGTAAATAGAGAATTCTCAATAGAGGAGACTAAAATGGCTGAGAGACACTTAAGAAAATGCTCAATACCCCTAGCAATCAGGGAAATGCAAATCAAAACAACTCTGAGATACCATCTCACACCTGTCAGAATGGCTAAAATCAAAAAATCCAATGAGAGTTTTGAAGTAGAGAAATTCTGCATGGCAATTCCTATAAATGAGACTAGTAAGATATTAAGAGAAGAGTGCTCTATATTTAGGACATTTTCCATTCCTTAAGCAGCCCAACAGGACAATGGTTACTCACTTTGGAAGGGTATTGCTTAAAACCCTACTTCTGCACACTGGGTGGGCTCAGGTCAAGTATTTTATGGGGGAAACCATCGGCTTCCTGGTCATCTTTGACTTCTTCCCTATATTGAGATTTTGGAACCTTACTTTTCCTTTTTGTAATCACTCCTTCCTTCATATTGGATTATTTTCATTTACAAATAGGATGGGCAATGGCATTATCAATAAGACCTCATCAATCTTTAATATCTGGAATCATATTATTACATAACCTTTCATATCCTGAGACCTTATTCCTTTTATTAAATAATTTGTTTCAAATCCAAACATGTATGTATTTAGATAGAACCCACTTTATTCTCTCCCATCCAAATCCTCCCTTACACTGCAAACCTCACCCCCAGTGACACACCTTCTTCAGTAGTCCATACCATCTAATCCTTCCCATGCATTCCCATCAAGTGGGGAACTAAACATTCAGATATGATCCTATAGGGACCATAGTTCCTTCAAAGAACCATAATGTGTAAGTGTTAAATATCATTCTTTCACTCTTGTCTATCTAGTATTCTAGAAACAAATTGTTGAAAAATGCTAAGGACTGCTGATGTCTAACACTGAAGCTCAAACTGTTGTCAAGCTACTGCTTTGACCTTTATTTATACCTTTTTCCAGTTTGTATATACCTATTGGTACAAAAGTTCACAAGTCTTTCTGATATATGATAAGAAGAAGGGAAAAAGGTAAGAAAACTTAGTCACTAGTTTTAAATAATAGCTTTTAATGTCAATGTTGCTGCTTCTTGATGTTATGTTAAAATGGCACAGTTGTCATTTATCCCTGATGGGAGAGGGGGAAATCAGTTTACTCCACAGCAGTGATACTGCTCAAGAACAAGCCTCATGTTCAGGGTTAGTTGACCCATACATAGTGAACCCCACATAGGTTTTGTTTTGTTTTGTTTGTTTGTCTGTTTTTGTTTTGTGTGTGTGCTTTTATTTTATGCTTTCTTTCTGTTTGGATGTTGTTTTAATTTGTTTTGTTGGTTGGGGGGATTGTTGTATTTAGATTTTGTTTGCGTTTTTTAGAAAGAACTAAAAGTTGGGTGTGTCAGAAGGTGGCAAAGATGTGGAAGGATTTAGGATTAGGGGAAGAATATAGTAAAATTTTATTTAAATTTAAAAATTGTTTTAAATAATAAAAATTAAAAGTATATGATTCAATAGGAAAAGCTAATTTAAAACAGGCACAGTTGAAATCCTGTCCTTTTCTAGAACTTAAAATGAAAAAAAAACACTTTAAGGTTATTTTGAGTAAAATATCAGTTTTAAATCTTTTTTTATTCTTTTTTTTTAAATTTAGATAAGAAACAAGGTTGCTTCACAAGTCAGTTCCAGGTCCCTCTCCCTTTCCCTCCCCTCCTCCCGTGCCCTCCCCCATCCCCCCCGTTATCCCCTCGTTCCCCCAGGGAGGGTGAGGCCCTCCATGGGGGTGTCCATAGTCTGTCATTTCATATAGGGCAGGGCCTAGACCCTTCCCCAAGAGTTCAGGGTGAGAGTGCACCTTACATTGTTCTATGGGAGTCCAAAGTCCGTGTGTATACTTGGGATGGGTACTGATAAATCTTATCATTTGCTGAAATAGACATTTTCAGACAATAACTAAAATACCATGTAGCATAGATAATGTAGGCAAAAAGCAAGCACTTGAGATCTCCAGCTCCAAATTTTGGTGCATTTCTTATTACTTGGATTTCATTTTAATTTCTTCCTGTTGGATGACTAGACTAAAGCAATTGATGACAGAGTTAGTCAGTCAGCATTGACTATGTCTTCCCCCTGCCCCGAGATCAGCTCCAGAAGTGGAAAATTCATTCATTATCCATTCTTCTAGGGTACTTACCTCGTGCTTCTATGTGAGGCCTCATTTGAGGGTGTGAAGCTCTACCGAGTGTCCTTCAGTAAGTTTATGTATGATGAACCTCCAACTGCAGACCTTAGAAATATAGATGGAGGACTGGGATATTATTGGGATCTTTAAAAAGGAAATAAACACTCACATTTATGCATGAAAAAAATCCAGAGTAAAGAGGTAGGAAATATCAACTCAGAACTGGGAAGCGTTGAATTTTGCAAGCTGAAAGAGGAAAAGGAAGGAGAGGATGGGGTGAATAATGATCATCACAGTTGAGGAGGCAGTCCAGTGAAACATCATGTAGTCATGGGGCCCTCGTTTCTCTAGCACTGTGAAAACTGCTTTGTAGGAGGAGAAGACATTTAGAAACAAACTGAAGGAAATTATGTACCCAGAAAAAGGAAGGAGTAGAATGCAAGAGTTGAGTGAGGTTTGAAGCAAATTAGGCTTTGTATACCAGGAGGATTTGGAGTTCATCTTGAAATCAACTGGAAGACTTTACCATGATACTTAGTGACTATCTACAACTGACTATCTTGTTCTGATTATAGGCCATACTTGAAGAGTTATTTACAACCACATCTTATTTAGATAAAACTTCCAGCATTTATTTAGATAAAACTGGAAGGCAAAGTAATTCCTTGTTTTGTTTGTTTTTGAAAAGTTTAAGATATTTGAGGGCATATTTGTAATATAACTGGATAAGATATGAGAGTCTTGTGCATGGTGATAGATATGGATCTATCTGAAGTTTTCTACACGCCAACATCCAGTTATGCCAGCAACATTGTTGAAGATGCTTTCTTTTTTCCATTGTATAATTTTTGCTTCTTTGTCAAAAATTAGGTGTAGCTATGTGGGTCCATATTAGATGTCTACCTGTCTATTTTTGTGTAAATACCAAGCTGTTTTTCACTATAGTGTTACAGTAGAGCTTGAAGTCAGGGATGGTGGTGATGTCTCTGGAAGCTCCTTTATTGTACAGGGTTGTTTTGGCTATCCTGGATTTTTTGTTTTTTCATATAAAGTTGAGTATTGTTCTTTCAAGGTTTGTGAAGAAATGTGCTGGGATTTTGATAGGGATTGCATTTAATCTGTAGATTGCTTTTGGCAAGATTGCAATTTTTACTATGTTGATCCTAGCTATCCAAGAACTTGGGAGATCTTTCCATTTTATGGTATCTTCTTTAATTTCTTTCTTTAAAGACTCAAAGTTCTTACTGTACAGGTCTTTCACTTGTTTGGCTAGTGTTATCCCAAGGTATTTTTATATTATTTGTGGCAATGGTAATTTCTTTCTCAGACCATTTATCATCTGTATATAGAAGGGCTACTATTTTTTCAGTTACTTTTGTATATTGCCACTTTGCTGAAGGTGTTTATCAACTGTAGGAGTTCCCTGGTAGAACTTTTCAGGTTACATATGTTAGCTATGGAAGCAGAAGCAGGCACTCACAGCTAAGCACTGAGCTGAACTCCTGGAATCCAGTTGCAGAGAGGGAGGAATGATGAGCAAAGAGGTCAAGACTAGGCTGGAGAAACCCACAGAAACAGCTGACCTGAACAAGGGTGAGCTCATGGACCTCAGAGAGGTAATTGGGTAACCAGCATAGGACCAACCCAGACCCCCTGAACGTGGGTGTCAGTTAGGAGGTCTGAGCAATCTGTGGGGTCTCTGATTGTAGATCAGTATTTATCCCTAGTACATGAATGGACTTTGGGATCCCACTCCACACATACAAATACTCTCTCAGCCTAGACACATGGGGGAGGATCTAATATCTATCTATAATCTATCTATTATCTATGCATTGATGCATCTATCTAGCATTCTGTCATCTATCTATGCATTCTCTATCATCTATCTTTTATTTACGTATTTTTCAAAAGCAAGGGAACAGAGTGTTTTGGATTTCTCTTTGTTTCCTTTCTTTTGGTCTTCTGAATCAGTTTCCTAGAAAATGAGATAAAGGTGGTTAAGATTTAGGTTTTAATTCTAAACTCATTTGTGCCTCACATATTGCTTACAGGCCAAATGAAGTTTCATACAATGTTCTTAATGACTTGGGCATGAAACAAAGTTTCATGATGATTACAAAGGGATGGATACATCAAGAAGTCTTCGTATATATTATATGAAGAAAGAACAAATGGGACATAAAGGGTTTCTTGAGTAGACATCAACACATTATTAAAAACCACATCACAAATACATGCTTCTCAAAAGCACATGAATAGAATTTGCAGCTCTTCTCCATGTGAGCAAGAAGAAATGTCAGATCATCTTTGAGTCTATCCTGTTCATACTGAAATTACCAGGAAAATAGTCCCAATGATGTTTGACAAATGATTAGTGATAACTCTTTCTTCTTTCTCAACAACACAGGAAAATGCTGCATGGAGACTGGCTATTTGTCATTCAGTTACAAAACACAACAATCATGAAATCCCATTATGTTTCGCTTAGTAGAGGTTTATTTATAAAACAAAAGAGCAGAGAGGAAATACAAAATTAACTTCTTAGGTCTAAGCAGGTCTGAACACTTTTGATCGGTAGCTGAGAATGACTAGAGACATACAAGATTCTGTGTGACATTCTGCAGTCTGTCCTACCTCAGCCTAGAATCTTGGAACCAATCTGTTACCTACTGCTACCGCATACACCAGCAACTACATTCTGAGAGTAGCAAAGCTTCAGTAGAGAGGCTGGAGCCACAATCTGTTTTATGCCACCCCTATCTAATGTGTTCTTTGCTCCTCAGATGTCCCATGTCTGTTGTTGCAAGGTATATAGCTGCATTGTCCACTATAGCCACCTCCAGCTACATGTGGCCACTGAGCACTTGAAACATGACTGGCCCAAACTAGAGGTATGAGTAGTGGAAAACACACATCAGTATCAAAGTTTTATTAAATAAAACATGTATTAAATAAAACATGTTCAATCAATAAGTGATATATTGGGCTAGATAAAATACATAATTGAATTAATTTTACCTAGTTACCTTGTTAACTACTAAAAAATTAATTACATATGTGGCTTGAACAACATTTCTCTTAGATATTGCCACTTTAGAGATTTACATATATTATGGATTCATTTCCTTAGTCTTTCCCAGAATGTAGGTAGAAAGCCATGGTATAAACTCAAAAATTAAAGAAATTATCAAGAGGTATATAATATGATAAATTATTGGATTGTGAGGATTATGGGACTTATATAATTGAGGGATGGCTTTTATGGAAATACAGATACTAGGTAAAGGGTCTGATATGGTGACAGAAGCTTCATACATATATGGCTGCCTGAGAGTCCACATTGCCACTCTTCATCCTAGAGACTTATTCTCAATGATAACAGCAACTTGTCTACCAGTATAAGATAGATAAAAGGCACCATATATCCATCTTCTGTTTTTAAAAAATTCCCATGATCTAGCAGTGAGAAACAAATCCCCCAAAGGATGTTCTGCTGAGTTTCTACTTTTATTAAACAGGCAGTTGGGCAGACAGCATTGTGATCAGATTTCCAGAGCACAGACTGGATGCAGATTTCTCCACATCCTCAGATCACTGAAGTAAAGAGACGGAAAGACTGAAGACCAGCAAGTCCAATACCAACAGCTCTGTGTTGTTTTCTATAGTACAAAGATGAATGAAGAATTCTTTATATACACAGATGGTGAAGGTAGGCAGTTCAGAATTGAGGCATAGCTTTTTCCTTATGACTTTCACCAATCGTTGCATCATTTCTCCTGGAAAAGAAGATGGACAGGTTAGATGCTAGAAGTCATTGAAATTACAGGGATGTGGTCTGTTCCAAAAAGCAACGAATTAATTTATGTCAAGACCTAGCAATATTAAACCATGTTCACATTCTATGTGATTCTGATGGTTATTGCCTGAGCATTTACTATGAACCAAATATTGAAGTGGACAGTGGCTTAACTCTGCTATTGATTGCGTGCTTCCTCATGATAATAAATGCAGTCGTTAGTGGCATCTCACAGATAAGAATATTGTGCATCAAAGTTTAATGAGTTTCTATTAGGTCATGCCTCTGGCACAATTCTTCATTGCTTAAGAAAATACATTTATAATCTTCAGGTAAGTTCCACATGAAAGTTTTTGTCAAGTTACCTACACAGGATGAGAATTACAGGGAAGTATGGTCCAAGGCTAGTCTATTAAATTAAACTTTCAAAAATTACTCAGGCCGGGCGGTGGTGGCGCACGCCTTTAATCCCAGCACTCGGGAGGCAGAGGCAGGCAGACCTCTGTGAGTTCGAGGCTGGGCTGGACCGATAGCCTCCAAAACAACACAGAGAAACCCTGTGTCGTAAAAACCAAAAAAAATTTACTCAGATTACTTTTGTCCTAAGATGTGTATTTACATGGGAGTAAGAAGAGAGAGAAGAGGATATTCATACAATAAAATGGAAAGTAAGCCACTAAGGATTTGTATGCAAGAATAGCAAACAATTGTGGACTAGAGTTGGTTAAACCCTTCTTTATGTGTGTGAAGGTCTAGAGTAGGGGAATTAGCTGCACATTTACCCGGGAAGGAGATGGAAGGTCCCAGCTCTGAGCCTATTAAAATGTGTCTTCCCACTGTTCACCTGAAACCAGAAATCTTCCAACCTTGGTTTTCCCTCAGTAGGCAACCTGGCTTGATTAATTGTTTGCAAATTAAGTGGGATGTTTCCCAATTTTGTTGTTGCCCAAGTTTTGCATGGTATAGTGGTGTATAATAACAAAAATTTCTAGCAAATACCAGTATTAAAATAGTATCTATTATATGTGAATAACTTGGTTGGAATATATTTACTTAAACTAATTTATTTATTCAAACTAAATAATAATTGTCACTATTTCGTTTTCTTCTAAATTCACACTTTAGAATTTTTATAATTCCTTCTTTGGGTTGATATAGATAATAATTATGACAATAATAATAAAAACAATAATTATACATGGCATTAATTTTTAGACACTGTGATAAATATTGTAAAGTCAGTGTATGCTGAACGTTTTCAATAATTCATTGAGATACTCAGAGTATGTATATGATTTGCAGCAATATCCTATGTGAAACTAATCACAAAACAGATTTCAAACCAACTTATTACAACACATTATTTTCATTTAAAAGTTTCTATATTATCAAGTTCTATGTCATCTAACCTGGGAAATGATTTCAGATAGAGTCATCAGAGAGAATTTCAAAGTAAATCATGCATGCTCAAATATTCTGTTAGGTATTTAAATAAGAGGGCAATTTTTAGCACTGTGGAAAATTAAATTCTTTGTAATATGCAAAGACATAAGCATTATATAGAAATGGTTTCAATCCATCTGTTACTATCTGCCTGTCTTGGCCTCCATCTCATCTTATAATTGGTATATACTTATTACCACATGCTCCAATAATTACTTAATGATTTTGGTAATAATGTGGCTAATTCCCAAGTCATCTGACCAATAGTGTGACTTCTCTGGTCAGACAAATTCTCATTTCCCAGTGCAGAGAACAGAAACAGAACCCACACCAGTTCCAATCGTAACCAAAAGGCCAGTGTACTCACAGACGCAGGTGAGTCAGCAGGTATTGCTTCAGGGTCGCTGCTCTCTTCACACTTCCCCTGACTACGTATGCGTGTATCAGTCTGACGGATCCTGAGAAAGAAGAAATGCTTCAATGATGGGAAAAATGCTTACGTATAATGAGAAACAAATGTAGGTGATATCTGAGTACAAACCCAACTGAAATGAGTATAAAAGTCTAGAATATTCAGAGAACCATCTTCTAGATAGCGTCATCTAGGTTTGGTCTCTTTCTTCTGTCTGTAATTTATCCTCTAGTTCTCAGCCTATTTCACCACCTTTCAACCAAGACAGAGTGAGTCATTTGGTTCTTAATCCAAATGTCTTTTGTAAATTTTAATTTCATTTAGAGAGAGAGAAAGACAGAGTGTCTGTGTGTGTGTGTGTGTGTGTCCATGGGTGTGTGTCCATGTGTATGTGTATGTGTTTTTGTGTTGTGTGTACTGGCACTTGTGTACTATGGTACAGATGTAGAGGTCAGAGTACAACTTTTGTAAACCAATTCACTGCTCTCACTGGTCAGCGCCCTCACCTGCTGAACCACCTCTCTAGACCTCATGACTTTATTTTGTAGGTGAGAAAATTAGGTCCCAAAGAGAAGTTTGACTATATCAAGTAGCTATAATGTAATTTTGGGGACAGACAATAGAACAGAAAACAATAATACAGAGTTATTTCTAGAACCCAAAATGATATTGAGAGAATTGCAAGACCTTTAACTTAAGAAATTTTGTAAAGGAAGATCCCATTTCTCATCTGTGGTGCTGGGGAAGGATTCATTGTCTACCACAGGAGCAGAACTCGCTTAATCTGAAGTTTCTCCCCTATAGCTCCATCAAACCCTTAAGTAGATACTGGTTCCTCTTCCACGAGAAGGCCCGAGTCTCCTCTATGAGGTCTAGTCCCACCATCCTTAGCGTGGCATGCACCCAAGGTTACTACATTAACCTTAATACCACGTGAGCTTCTGCCCATGAAGCTTTCTTGATTAGAGTTTACCCTGGGCTACCATAGTAAATGTAAAGTTTGATAAAATAGTATTGATAATATAAGTCCTTGGGTTTATAATAAGAAGAAATTGAAGTATTTATGGCAGAAGACATTATGAATACATAATGGAACTACTAGATAGTTTAACTCATTCCTTAAATGAATATTTAACTTCCATTGATATATTCAGGGAGACCATGAATTCATAGATATTGAATCCATACATTGTGTCACAACTTTGTGTTTTCAAAGGAATTTCTAGTCTCACACAAACAAATGGAACCATTGCCTTGGAGATAGCAATACTATAATAAAGAAACTGAAGTTAAGGCACAATTATTTAGACCCAGAAAAAGCAAGGGTAAAGCATATTTTCTAATTTTTGCTAGTTTTGTGACATTTAATAAGTAATGTCAACTCCCTGAGTATCAGGTTCACCCACCTACTAAAACAATAACAGGACTATACATCAGATAAGGAAAACTTGATGATGGAATGGGAAAATTTTTTATCACCACACTATACCTACAGGTACAATGGCATGTAACTACACAGTTTATAGTTTACAGTTCTAGTTATGTAGCATTGTCCCCTTACTTCCAAGGAATATTGTTCATAGGGAGGCAGGAAGAAAGTGAGTGATCTGTCTAGGGACAATGAGAAGAATTGGAAAATCAGTATTTGAGAAGAAAAATAATTATGGGCAAGCCACAGCCTCGAGACAATACATAGTTTAACAGAAATGGGTTAAGAATTAAGAGAGAGCTAGCCAATAAGAAGCTTGAGCCATTGGTCAAACGGTTTATAATTAAAAATAAAAAAGGAAAATCAATAAAGCTAAAATAAGTAATGGAAGAACTTAACAGATCTTTGCACTTAACCTATGCTTTCATATCCAAGTTCTTCTTAGTAATCAGTGAATTCTGTAGCTTAAGATATTTCTTCCAAGAAAGAAATTGAGATTGCATATGATGAGACAATTGCCCAACATGTACAGACAATAATAATGCTAAGAACAGACATCATATACGCTATTCATCCTAGCATACTTTCTATTATATGGTACTAGTTTCTTTAAGAGGAAGGCTTCTAGATGATGGGAAACCCATGCCTGTCTTACAGTCATACACTCTCTTAAATATTGTAGGTGTTACAGGCACCATACATATGGTGGTTCTCAACTGCTTGCTTTTCCTATATGCTAGATGGATGATGGTCACACTCTCATGAATATACGTGAGTCTACACAGTCTTATACAGACATGTTTCAAACACCACTCTTTACCCTTATCCTATTACTCTAAAATACAAAGTAATACAGACAGGCAATTATATTAAAATGATACTATTGTATACTTTTTATTTTAAACATAAACAAATTTTGAATATTGGGAGGGCAACTGATAGATAACTTGAAATAGACCTGTAGTTAACATCAAAGCACTACTGTAGGCAACATTACCCTTGGAAACCTCCACACTTGAAGATGAGATGGTGCAATGTGGGTACTTACAGGTTTTCATGACAGAGCATGCAGGGGTTAGAATATGTTTGGCCATCATCCCCACAGACAGGCTGTAAATTCTTTGGGCAAAGGTAACCCATCCTGGGCAATATTCGGTAGTGTTTGCATATGTCAGCATCCTACACCGGTAAAATAGAGAGCAGAGTTGCTTAAGAGTTTCAAGGGATTATATGGGATTGGAGAAGCATTAGTTTTCCTAATTGCATCTGAGTCAATGATTGAGAACAGGACTGTGATACATTAATTAAATACACCCATTATTCAACATCACATTAGGTGGGCATAAATTCCTGGCTTTGGCTTATTTTAACTAGAGCATATTGGCATGAAAAAAAAGAAACCAAGAATGAAGTAGTTAGAGGAGCTCTTTAATGATCTGAGGCATAGCAAGCTGGGACATGCTTCTAGGAAGGAGTCTAGAACAATAACCAAGCTAGAAACAATATCCACTCTTAACTAATTAATTCCCTTTGCAATGAACATTGTTGTGGGTCTGCCTCTTTAAGATACTGGTCACTCCAAGAATCAAATTTCGGTCTGAAAAATTAGTCCATACTTCCATTTCTAACTCTGGTCTCTGCCTCCACAGGAGCTACCCTGGTTTTTATCTTCTGTGGTGGCAACAGAAATATTACAAAGGTGCTTCTTTATGTTTGTCACACTACCTCCTATGTGTATGGAAAAGACTTGTAAACAAATGTGCTCCTTAGGGTCACTCCAATAAAATGATTATGTTGCTTCCCTTGAGCTTCCTTTGAGCTTCTGCCTGGCTCCCCAATCCCTGGAGGACAAAAGCATCCAACCTGATAAAATTCAAGGAGAAACATCTTACCTCAGAGGAGCTGGAAAATCCTGGACCATCTTCTTCTTTGGTAACCCTAATGTGTGATGGACTTTCTTCAAGCCCCGACTTTTCTACAGCTTCCTTTTCACTAGAAGAAAGAAAAAATATTTACAAAGAGTATTCACAAAGCTTTTGTAACTTCTCATGGAAAGGCAGGCACTCGCAGGAAAACATGAGAGAACTCTAGAATCTTCCATCAGGATATGACCAGAATGAGATGCTTTAGAAAGACACCAAGGTGACCAATTCTGAGCAATACTGATAATCCATCCCTACCTCAAGAACATTCTTTATGAAACAACAACAAAAAGCTAAGGCATATTGCTATTGTCTTCATGGGTGCTTTTAATCATGAGTGTCCACTCAACTTGAAATGTGGTTGTTCACTAGTCAAATCATTTAGCCCTTGAGATCATTATTTAATGTATTCTAAGGTATACAATAGTATTTTTCAATGACTTTACTTTTGGTTCTCATGCAGTTTTGGATCAAGGATTTGGAATGAGAGCCCTGGTAAGGACACACACCTACATTTCCTGTCTTTGAACCCAAGGTCTCTAGCTGCTGCATCTGTTGTCTTAATTTGCAGCCTTTGGCCATATTGTGGATTCTCTTGGACTGATGAGCACACACATGTATTCAGTCAGCAATCTGTAAAAATATGTGTTTCCTGCTGGCCGACTCTGATGAGCTTACTCACATGACAACTCTGCACATGTGGCACTTGTTTTGATAGATGGTTCCATCAGCACCACGTACTGGGTCATCCTTTTGTGGACAGAGAAGCTTGCCATCCTGCAGAAGCTTTCGAAACTCGCTGCACTCATCCTAAGAAATGCAATAAGGGAGGTGAGCCTCCCTTTGTCAGTGGGTGACTTTTCTGAAACTCACCTTTAGGTGAGTTTTCGGCTCAGGGCTGGTACTTACTTCAGTCATCCCAGTAGTGGAGGGCAAAGAGCTCCTGGCCTGCCTAGGTTTTGCATCCTCTGCTGTGTTGTGATCGTCTCTGCAGTTGTTCTGGAATACAGGGAAATATAAGAAAAGACTTGATAGACACTCATCAACTGCCAATTCGACTACCCGTCATCTGTCCTCTCTCCATCAAAAGCCAAGGAGACTCTCAAAACCCCGATGAAAGATTCTAGAGTCCTCTCATCTTTTCCTGGGAGTGCCTGTCTTTCCATGAGAAGTTACAAAAGCTTTGTGAATACTCTTTGTAAATGATTTTTTCTTTCTTCTAGTGAAAAGGGTTTTGATGATCTCTGTGAAATGACTGAGGGAAGATGTTTGCCTCCTTCCAATCTTGAGAAGTAATGAGAAAAAGTTCTGTAATACATGCATACTATTTATTCATGGATGCTTAAAAATCATTTGGAGAAAACAGAAGAGACTTCAAAGACAAGCAAAACAGGAAGCTTAGCATGTTTGTTTGTTACAGGAATCATAAAGTCAGCATCAACAACACACCTAATGTCTCCTTTCACATTTAAAGTGTCAAAGATAAGTGTGCAGTTGAGGTGAAAGAAAGATGTGTCCTCTAGTTTTCCAGTCCATAGCTCTGTTAAAATAGGAAAACAAAATACTGACATACACTGTAGGAGAATTCTCTAAGAATTTATAAAGGATTAACTCCTCCTGTGTGCCTGTATCTGTGTGTATGTCTGTGTGTCTGTGTGTATGTGTGTGTGTGTGTGTTACCGATATATCTTGAATTATGACTGAAAGTGAGATTGTTGTCAAAATCAAAACCTTAAGTAAAATGTTAGTGTCTTTCTTACTTAAAGACTACATGGAAAGATAAAATTCTGAGGGTGAGTAGTAGGGCCCATATTTTATCTGTCAAACACAACCTTTCCCTCATTGGCAGGCTGAGGACTTGAGTTTTCTTCATTCCTCATTTTCCTTTCACTAGCTTCCCGTTCACTGCAGAATTAAAAAAAAAGAAAGAAAATAAATAAAGTAATATTTTGAGGATTATGTTGAATTATCTTTAAATAAGTATTTTTCAAATACTAAACATTAATAATTGATAACATACAGTCTTATAGCTTAAAAACATTTAGACATACATTTTTATCTGTTGTCTCTGATGGCTGGAATGTTGCTATTCTCTTGTGGCTACATGCTCAGCATTTGCTGATGTCATTGTTTTACCATCACTTACAGTCAAAGGGTTCTCAGGGGCTGTTGATCCTTAAGAGAATATGTTTATTTTATTCTCTCACCCAGATAATAGCTTCATTTCTCCCTTTTTAATACTTTCACAGTTGCATTCCACTTAAACTCTGTATCATGTGTTCTTCCTAGAGTTACAGTGATTTAAAGCTTAGCAACACTTTAGGAAACACTGTTCCCTTGAATCTCCACAAATCTCTGTGTGTATTCAATGTAATTCTTTCACATTTAAGATGGACTGACATTCTGTGAAACACAGCTCTCATTGGTAGCTGAGCTTTTTCTTTAAAAGACACTGCCAGAGAGTCTGGGAAAAGGAACCTTCATCCAGCAACTGATGGAAGTAGAGGCAGACACCCACAGCTAAACACTGAACTGAACTCCTGGAATCCAGTAACAGAGAGGGAGAAATGATGAGCAAAGGAGTTAAGACTGGGCTTTTTAATCCACAGAAACAGCTGACCTGAACAAGGGGGAGTTCATGGACCCCAGACTGATGGCTGAGAGGCTAGGGCTGATCTAGACCCCTTGAATGTGGGTGTCAGTGAGGAGGCCTAGACAATCTATGGAGTCTTGGGTAGTATTTATCCCTGGCATACAAATGGACTTTGGGTGCCCATCCCACAATGAGGATGCTCTCTCAATCTGGACTCTTGGGGGAGGGCCTAGGCCCTGCCCTAGATGAAATGACAGACTCTGGATATCCCCATGGAGGGCCTCACCCTCCCTGGGGATGAGAGCGGGGATTGGGAGAGGGCCTGGGGGACTTGGTGGGGAGCGGGGAAGGAGAGGAGGGAGAGGGAGCTGGGATTGACATGTGAAGCAAGCTTGTTTCTAATTTAAATTAAAAAATGAAAATAAAAGACTCTGGCTGCCAGGAGGTGATGTTCATTCCCAGCCCTTGTGAGGCAGAGACAGGGAGATCTCTGTGAGTTTGAGGCCAGCCTAGTCTACAGTGTGAGTTCCAGAACAGCCAGAGCTACACAGAGAAACCCTGTCTTGACATACCAAAAATCAATCAATCAATCAATAAAGGGATACATAAAGAAAATAAACAGATAAATAAAAATGATAAATAAACAGAACACACTGACTTATAAATGTATCGTGATTGTTCTCCACCTTAGAAGACCTAAGTATGATTATATTTCTCATTGTTTGCAAGAACAGCTTCTCAATGAGCACTTTGAAAACTAACACTAATCTTCATAAATGAGGTTGTATTTATCTATAATGCATGAAACCAAGTGTCATAGGTTTTTAAAAGACTGTAATTCATTTCTGGCAAACAAGCACGATTTATCAAATTCATCAGCAAGCCTGTTCACGTACAACATGCTCTGACACATGGCACACTTGTTAACATGTGTCTTGCCGTCCGGGCCTCGGATGGGATCATTTTCTCTCGTGCAGATCAGCTTCCCATCCCTCTGCAAGCTTCTGAATTCATGGCACTGATCCTGACATGAGGACAGAGAGACATATTAGTATCTTGGCCTAGTGCTCAGCATCTGAAAACACCAGTATGGTTAGAGAGGAAGGAAAAAAATTCCTCCCTGCCTTACTCTAAACATTTACCATCTGAAAGCAGCATGGCAGTTAGGCACAGAGTCATGACACTGGGAGGAAAATAGACAAAATGAGATTCCAGAGATGGACTGTGATTTAAAGGTACTTTGTTCGATTTTTCTTCTCCACTGGAATTTCGTCGCTGTCCAAGACAGCTCATCTCATTTTTTCAGTCTTCTGCAAGAGCTGTGTCTCAAACCAGCCTGTCTGCAACTGTACTCAATATTCTACACACAAGAACATTCAGATTCAAAGTACAGAATGAACTGAAAACATTCACCTGGAAAGACATTCAAGCACGTCAGCTTCCAGTTCTGTTCCTCAGCGACAGCTTTACATTTACTGGTTGTGTGCATGTACACGTGTGTGGGCACACATACCATGGAACATATGTAGAGTCAGGGGACATATAGAGAAGCTGACTATCTCATTCTACCCCAGGGTCTGCAGGGATCAAACTCAGAGCATCAGGCTTGGTGGCAAGTGCCCTGTTACCTTCTGAATCAGCTTGCCACACGATAACATCTTTAAAATATTTCTATCGTGTGAACTACATGCCAGTTTATAGGATGTGCATCATTTTTTGTATTTTACATTTTAGAAAAGACTCAGAAATCTTAAAAATATCAGCGTACATACTGGGCTTGTGACCAGATATCTACTGACAAACAAATTCCTCACTTTCGTTTCTTTGCTTTTCCATGATAAAGAACAAAGCCGTTAATTATAATAAAATAAAGCTGGATTGTTTTATGCTAAAAACTCAACACTAAAACAATGCCAAGGGAATTGGTTCCATGAGATTTTGCTTGAACTCCCTTTAACTGCAAAGAGAACTTTGGAGACACTGTTGTTAAAATGCAGACAGTAACTTAGATTGAGTTTGCTTTTCTCACCTACAGACAATCACATGTGTAGTTTTATCCACTGAATTCTTAAAATTATCTCTGGAATTGGGCATCTAATCACTGTATTATTTGTCTTAGAAACGTCATTTTCAGAAGCACCCGGAGTTCCTTTGTTTTCAGGTGCTCACAATACTGCACACATACATATCAGTAATAACACTCGTCGTACTGCTAGCTTCAGGATTTGACCTCCTGGTCTACTTATTGTTTGTTCATGGTTCCTGTCTCTTGAGCATTTCTCAGCTGCAAAATTTTTAAACTGTTTAGACATAAGAGTTTTCAAAGATTATTTTGATTTGGACATATAAAAAATCTATAATTCTCCTTTGACACACTTAAAAGCAACATTTTATTATAGAGAGAATTACAAGTTTGTATTTCTAACTGGATTTCACAGGTGAGATGTGCTGTGTAGCAATGGATATTCTGTGATGTCACTGTGGGAAAGCGCACACTATTTATAAAGCCCCCAATTGAACACTAGGTGGCAGTCAAGTCAAGAGCCATCTGGAGCTGTTACTATGCAAGCTCCAACTTTATTTTTCTTGATTGAAAGTTTTGTTGCTTTCCTTTTCCTCCCCTACTCCCAAGCTCAAGCCCTTCCTGTGGATCAATTGCTTTTAAAGTTTCAAATAAAACTGTTGAGTGGATAGTTACAACACTTTGATAAATGTTGCTGGTCTGGAGAATGTCTAGGTAGTACCCACATTAGAGTTGTTTTTAAGAAAGAGTGACAAGCTGTTTTTCGTAGAGCTAGCCATACCCTTTTCTGCTTATTATCACATCCTCAAGGATGAGTAGAGAATGGGCATTTCAAAACTGTTGGTTATTCAAATTTCATTTACAATAGGCCTTTGGGTGAGCCCATAGCTTTAAGGTATTCATGGCTCTAAGTCTCTACGCATTAGACTCTAAGAAATCAGAGCCCAGCCTGAAAGAATCAGGACATACCTCCCCTGCTAGCTCTGGTCTCTAACTCCCCTGGGGCTGTTTTGCTCCTTGTCTTCTGTAGAGGCAAAATAAATGTGCTTAAAAAGAAGCTGCCTCTTCATGTTTGCACACTGTCCTCTATGCATATGGCAAAGACTTGCACATAAATGCTATTGTCTGTATCACTTTCATCAGAGAGCTACGACATCTCTCCTGGACCTGGCTATGAACCACAGCCAGGCTCTTCAATCCCTGGAGCTCCCTACACTTCTGTGACTTTCAAGTCTCTTTCTTTTCCCTACCCTAAGTCAAGCCTCTCTCCCATGCTGTCCATTGTAGCTTTTTATCCCCAAACTAACCTTCTTAATATTTTTAGAATGTCTATAATTTTCATCCACCTCACAACCCCATTATGCTGCCTTTGACATATACATCACTCCTCACAGCATGCAGCTACTTCACTGTGGCCCAACCATGTTCCCCTGGGTGCAAGGTCATCCCTTTTCATACATCACATTTTCTGAAAGGTCATTTCATGCTGGCCCCGAAGCTGTCACTTTCATCTCCTTAACACGAACCCAGCAACTTCAGGTATTTACATGTCTGACATATTACCTCCTTATCATTCTTGTTTGCCCCTGCGTTTCTTTTGTCTTCATCCTCTTTCTTTTTCTTTTCAGCGGCCTCTCTTTCCCTGGGAGAAAGGAAGGGAAGAAACATTTCTACCAACGTGAATAAATATCTCACTAGCTGTAGGACTCAGTTCTAAAGACTTTGTTATTCTGATCAAGCTGCTGCAGCATGGTTATTATACCATCTGAACTCCCAGACAAACCCTGTTCGGGAAAATGCTTACAGTCTCTCTTTGCACATGGCACACTTGTTGCCATGAGTCTTGCCGTCTGGACCCCGGGTAGGGTCACTTTCCCGAGTACAGAGAAGTTTCCCGTTTTTCATTTGGCTTCTAAACTGGTCACATATATCCTGAAAATAAAGAAGGAAAGATAATCAGAAGTGCTGTTTCCATATAGTGTTTTATTGGGTATGTAAAGCCAACGATTTTTATTCAAATGTCTGGCAGCCACTCAACCTTGCCGAGGTAGACAGGGTTATGACAAAAGGACATCCACATCTTTGTGTTTGGAGTATGTAAATATGTTGCTTTATCAGTTAGTGATACAAATAGATAATTAAGAGCACCAATCAGTTGAATTTGAAGTTATTTGGGACTAGTGGAGAGGACTCATTGTAACCACGAGGGTTTGTGCTCAAGCAGAGGAATCGGGTCCAGAAGGATAGAGAATCAGACTTGAGCAAGCATCCTGGCCAGAAGGCAGCCACAAACCAATGAAGGCAACCATTCCTGGAAGTCAATAGACACTAAAGAAACACCCTACACTGGAGTTTCCACAAACGAGTGCAGCTCCAACAACACCTTGGTTTCAGTAGGGTCATTTGACACTTCTGACCTCCATGAATATAGGGTAATAACTGGCAGTACTGTGAGCCAGTATCTATAGTAACTTTTTATCGCAGCAATATAAAACCCAGTGTTAGATGTGGCATTATAAAAAGAAGGCTTCCCCTAGCCATATCAACAGCAACAGTCTCTTTCAACATTTTGGATGGCTTATACCAAACCTCAGCACTGACTGACTTACCTTTCTTGTAGATGATCCAGTACTATTCGATCTTGAGGCAACATTTTTATTTTTTTCCTCGATTTCTCTCTGCCTGTGAGATAAAGGGTCAACAGTCATCTTGATGACACAAAAGTAAATGCAGAGATGTAAATGTCTGAGGGCATGTGTTCTAAACTCTCTCTTCCACAGTGAGCATCTCCACTCTTTGAGAACCATAGCCTATTCCATTGCCAAGAATCGAAGGCAGGAGGGCCCTTCATAACAAAATACATTATCAAATCATTTGATTACAGTCTTCACAATTCCTATTCAAATTTATAGTCATCGTGGTCCACACTCCTAGAGCAGTCGTCCATGATTTTGAGTTAAAAAATCATTGTAATATTATTTCTTTTTTTTTATGCAGGGCCATTCTTACATGTTTATAACAGGGAAGGCAGCCAGATGTGAACTCCTCTTTTAGCTGCTTTGAAAGCATAATCAAATAGACAAACAGTCTTCTGCTACTAAAGGTCTCTCAGCAGATCAGTGAATGAAGAAAGGAAACAGTTTGAAGCAACAAATTGCAGACACACACTGCTGAATTTCTGACTTGCTAAAATTGGACACATTTAATACAGAGTACTTTGTTCCAAATTTTAAAACATAGAGAGCACGAGTCCTGATCTTATTGTAATATTTTCCCCTTTATTATCCCTTTTTTTAACCAAGGGAAGCTTTGTTGTGTAAGGACTGGTAATTTTTTAAATGAATATCTTGTGTAAATATATCTGAGAAATTAAATCTCACTTCATTATGTTCTTGAAATTATTTGATTGTAATGGACTTTACTGTTTACAAGAAAATCACCATTAACACTCACATATGTTAATTACTTTCCATATTTTCTTGGTATTTTGAGGACTCCAAATATTTCTTAATCATGTCCCAAAACAGTTAAATAAACAGTAAATTCAAATAAATGTAATTTGTAACATTTTAACCAATTTGGTTATTGAAAATAAAGTGTTCCTGTAACGCAACTGCATGGTGAAAATCTAGTTATAATCATAACTTTAGTTAGATGCCTCCATTAATTGCCTGGAAAGATAGCTCAGTTGGTAAATTGCTTGTCTCACAGACATGAGGACCCAAGTTCGAATCCCCAGCATCCATATAAAAATGGGGGGGATGGGAGTGGATGGGGGTTGGTGGGATACTTATAATTCCAGTGATGGAGACACAGAGACAGGAGGATCAGTGAAGGCCAATGTCCAGTCAACTCCAGGTCTCTCACCCACAATAAACAATTCACATTACATATGCAACAATGTACAATATGTTCTAGGTTTCTGTACTGAAGAACTGGATTGTAGCTAGAGCCCTCAAGTCTACTCTTCATGAGACCTTTAAGAAAACCAATTTCTTTTTCTCATTAGATGAATGTCAACATTTGTATAAAAGTTCATCACATAACTCCCAGAGAAGTGAAGAATGAATGAATTATACTTTGTGGGAAGAAAGGTAGATGTTACATATTTACTAACCATGCAACAATTAAGTGCCACAACTAAAAGCATCCATAAATGTTCAAAGTCACCTAGCAATAACTCAGTTTTTAGATTTAGACTAGCAATAATTGTGTTACTGACCCTAACAAGGTGAATCGACATGGCTGAACTATGTCATGAAATGCTCTAATACCACTCGCCAAGGGGAAATAAACAGAAGTAACTACTCTTGTTTCTTTAGTTAAGTATGTTTCATTTACTTGACAAGAAACTAGCTCACTTAAAGACTGGTCTGCTATTCCAAATGACTATCTTTAAACTTTATTAGGTCAAGACAATGAAAAATATTACGATGACACTTAGAGGTCATAGAATTATAGCTGCAAACAGAAGACAATCAGCCACCTGATTATTTGTCCCCTCCCACTTGGGCTTAAGTTCCTTAGGAAATATTAAAAAAAGGAGACCATGGGGATTCAAGGAAGAACTTTCACAGAAGCAGCTGTAGAAAAGGAGAAATGTCATTAATTCAGGAGAAATGCATGACTGTCTTTGAGACACACTTGCTTTGAGAAGTACTTACAGGAGTTCTTTACACATGACACATTTATTGTTGTATGATTTCCCATCAGCACCACGTACAGGGTCACTCTCTCGAGTACAGCTGAGTTCTCCATTTTTCATTCTTTCCCAATATTGAGCACATTCATCCTGCAAGGGGAAAATTAAGCAGGCCATAGAGTTGTCTACTTTATTATTGCCAAGTTCAGGAAGCAATCACTATCAAAAACATTCTTTCCTTTCACCCTTGCAAATATTTTCTCACCTAGGGTTGCTGTCCACAGAGAAAGGGGGGGATCATCCGTGTTCTAATTCATAGCCCTTAATGTGTTTAAACATTTACATGGGGAGCACAGATCTGGGACCAGAAATAAGGCAACATGTTCACCAGACAGATGGCACTATCTGGAGAAGACAGACAACCATCCTGAACATGTCTACTTCATGAGAGTGAGGATTCATTGTGCTAAAGCAGAAGCATTAGAAAATAAACAGAAAAGACAGATTTGAGAGCACAGAGGTGGCCTTGGTCTACCTATGACCATAAAAAAGATGAGTAGGTGGCAGAAATCTCATGCAATGATGCCATACCCATACTGTAAAATGTCTCAAATGTGCTCAAAGTACCTAAATTATTTTCCTCTATCTTTTAAAGAGAACTCTGAGATATAAGAGATGAGTTAATTTACTCAAAATTTCAAAAGTCCATATAGTAAGGGGCCAATTGTACAGACTCAATAGTCTGTTCTGTTTTACCATGCTGCCTTGCTTTGTAGAGTAGAAACGATAATTCAGTAATTCAAAGGCTTAGCCTAATCCTCCGGAGTGGAAGAAAGTAAAGATGCTGATGAGCATCAATCCTGACACAAAGACTAGAGTACCAAAAAAAAAAAAAAAAAAAAGGGGGGGGGTCGGGAGACTGGGACTGTTCACAATCTTCAGTTGTTTCCAGATCTAAAGAAGCCACGAGTCACACAGTAGCAGAATTTGTTAATGCCTTACCCCAGAGGCCGAGGTGAGGTGGAAGACGGCTCTTCCAAGGACCTGTTTCATTGAGGTGCTCTCTGCATTTCTCTTTACCTCCTGGCCCATCACACCCCCCCAGCAATGAGTCCCGCCCACGCAGGCTGTGGAGGTCCGGCAATGAGTCCCGCCCACGCAGTCTGTGGAGGTCAGGGCTTACTCTCACCTTAGCCTTCAGTCTCTCGCCACTGGAACCATGGCCTGAAGTGATTCTCTGATTTTCCCCTTCCTTCTTCATTCTTTCTTCTTTTTCTTTGTCGCTGCAGGTCAGAAAGTGGAAGGAACCACAGCTTACAGAACGAAGAACACATTTCTATGAGCCTATTAAACGCCTCAACTGGATCTAGATGGGATTTATCAGTGTTTATTTTCCGTCTACGTTACAGGCCTTTCTTCTCAGAAAATATAATTGATGGATTATGTGAAATCCTTTGTGTGGCAAGGTTTTCATCGTACTAATAGAAGAACAACATATGCTTAACTGCCAGCTAATAAGTGTTTTCTAAATGTTTGACTGGGACCTTTATCTTTATTTCTTAATTTATTTTTCATGTACAAGAGGGCTTAAAAATAGTCATTTTCTTTAGCAAGCATGAACTTCTGCCTATGTTGTTTGTTATTCAAAATGAAGAGGTTGAAATCATCCCAGTCTCTCCTCTCAGCTTGCATAGCTGTTACCCATTAACATTTTTCCATCATCTGCCTTCACCTTGACCAGGTCATCCCTCCCTGGGTAACAGCAGCCCATCAGCCCCCTGACACCAGCCGCATTAGGAATGTTAGCCCTTTCTTCTATTGATGCCAGCTGTAGGCATTTTTCCTAAATGAGTCACATTTCTCTCATTTCCTCCCCTAACGGACATATTTCTACAGCCCTCACTACGTAGAGAATTGATGTCCAAGTCCTTGGTTTGACAATGAAAGCTGGTGAAGTTCCTAAGCTCTAGATGTTTGTTCCTTACGTACCAGTTTTCTTAATTTGGACCTGATGCAGTTCTGTTATTCTCTCACATAGCCCTGTCACTTACTACCTTCCCCAAATTATAAGATACTGGTTTATTTTCATCTAAAACTTTCTCATCACTGAGGTATGGAAACCAGTTAAGAGCACCACTTTCCTTCAAGTCGCTCTTTGTATGTATTCCCTTATAGCCAGACAATAGCTGGTGGACCACTCACAGCCCACGGGGATCAAGTAAGTGAATGCTAGTATTATAAAAATTAATTTCCAATGAAACATGCAACGTATGTCCATCATTATCTATGTTGTACCACAGAACTTCACCGCAGGCTTTGTTTTGAAAACACAATAGGCACACTTTCCACTTTGGGAGTTGTCAGCCACTCCAGGCCATAGAGAATTGACTAAGATTTCAGCTCAGGTTCAAAGCTGTTACAAGTTATCTATTGCAGCGTTTTTGTTTTTCTGTTCATACAGAAAATTAATGACTGAATTGTGGGAACTAAAGACTTTCAATAATCTTCGATCATCATTCATCAGTATGGATGGAACAAGCTAGTTCATCTTTTGACAGCATTATATAAGTGTTTGATTATAAAACTTCTCTATAATTTACTGACTTGTACTTCATAAAATATTTTAAAAATAAATCTTGTCTTCAGTTTAGGATAGAATTTACAACATTCTTGAAATGAATTCAAGTATACTTCTGCCATTTATGATTAAATTCTCATTCTCAGCATTGTTGATCACATAATCAAAATATTAATCAACTTTGAAAAATTTAAAAACATTTTGTGAACTGCAGTATCAAGTATTCAGCCAAGATTTAATTCTTAATTTACAACTGAACAGTAGGACCCATTCATTTGATTTTCTATAATTAAATATATCATAAATAATTGTTTTATTTAAGGCTCTTCAGGATTATAAGTAAGTGTTTGATTTGTGTATTTATTTTACATGCCCAGGTGTGAAATAAAATTTTCTCAGGGAAAGGGGTTGGGAGTGGCAAAGGTATAAGAAACCCCAAACTGAATGATCTCTAGGAAGAATTCATATATTTCATATTTGTTTAATCATTATACACCCTGTACATATACTGTAGGTGCTCAGTAAATGTCTCTTGAATGACTTGTGTATTTTAGATGTATTTCAAAACTTTCTGTGAGGCATTACTTGTGTTTATTTCCTGAAATATGATATATCCCCAAATATATTACAGAGTGACCAAGAAAACCTGTGTATTTTCTCCCTAATTGAAATTCTAATATAAAGAGAAGAGATCTATTTTAAAATGGATAACTTTTAATCAGCAAAAATGTGATTATCTACTGAGAACTAATAAAAATATAACAATCTAGAAGTATACTGTTTGTTTCTACAATTATCAATATTGGGAATGAAGAAAAGGAATTCACCTGAAGATACTTTTCTGATAATCATTCATTTCTTTCACATGTAAGTAATATCACATACAATATTATATGTGTGTAACTCTGCCTGTATTATTGCCTTTCCCACTTTCCTCACTCACAGTAGGAAATGTCTTGCGTGTCTTTCATATGCAACAGTATATACATGCAAGTGTGCAGACTTGTTCCTTCTCCTACTATCCAGACTCAAATAGGAGCTACATTGTGTGTCTTGTACTCACAAGACAGCCTTGCACATGGCACACTTGTTCCCATGGGTCTTGCCATCTGGGCCACGCACAGGGTCATTTTCTCGTGTGCAGAAAAGTTCTCCATCCTTTAAAAGACTCAGAAATTCACTGCAGTCCTAAGAGAAGAAGAGAAATGCAAAAGTTTAAATATTTTCTTGAATGTCACTTTGTTGGCTTCGTATTTGGTCCTTCTTGGAAGAAAGAGAGACAGACAGAGACAGACAGACAGACAGACAGACAGACACAGTGAGAACCAAAGGATTTTCCCTACCTCTAGTGATTATATCATTTAATTCCTACCAATAACATTGGGCCCATAAAAGGCTTTCTTTATTGTCCACTTTGAAATTGACCCCTGAATCCACACATGTGAAAGAGTCTCTTAATAAACTGTACTTCTCTTTACATTTTTAAGACATTCACTTTCTTAATGCTTATATACGTGTGTGTACATTCACCATGTGGGTCCTGGGGATTAAACTCAAACTGCCAGGCTTGGTGCAAGCACATTTACTCCCTAAGACACCACGCTGTTCTTAAACCACATTTTCTGCGGATTGGGCACAATCCTTGCTCAGGGATTTTTTTGCTTATCTCTATTCCATCACAATGCAATGAAAACAGCACAGATATCACAGAATCAAACCCCTTCCTATTCTGAAGAAAACCTCCAAGTTTGCCTATCATCCGTACTCTCTTGATTCCTTTTACCTGATCCATAACAAAGGTGTTTTCTGATTTATATACAAAGACCCCCCGGCCATTCAATTACCGTTCCAGATGCTTCATCCCCAAATGACCCAATAAATTCTACCAGGGAACTCCTACAGCTGATAAACACCTTCAACAAAGTGGCAGGATACAAGATTAACTAAAAAGAAAAAATTAAAGAGCCCTAGTATATACAGGCGATAATTAGGCTGAGAAAGAAATCAGAGAAACATCACCCTTTGCAATTGCCACAAACAAAATACAATACCTTGGGGTAATGCTAACCAAACTAGTGAAAGATCTGTATAACAAGAACATTGAGTCTTTAAAGAAAGAGATCAAAGAAGATACCAGAAAATGGAAAGATCACCCATGCTCTTGGATAGGTAGATCAATATAGTAGAAATGCCAATCTTACCAAAATCAATCTACAGATTCAATGCAATCCCCATGAAAATCCCAGCACAATTTCACAGGCCTTCAAAGAACAGTACTTAACTTTATATGGAAAAAACAAAAGACCCAGGATAGCCAAAACAACCCTGTACTATAAAGGAACTTCTGGAGGCATCACTGTCTCTGACTTCAAGCTCTATTATAGAGCTATAGCCCTGAAAACAGCTTGGCACAAATAGATAGACCAATGGAATCGAATTGAAAACCCTGATATTAACCCCACACATTCGAACACCTGATTTTTGACATAGGAGCTAAAATTGTACAATGGAAAAAAGAAAGCATGTTCAACAAATGGTGCTGGCATAACTGGATTCTGGCATGTAGAAGACTGCAGAAATATATATATATGTGTATATATATATATATATATATATATATATATATATCGCCTTACACAAAACTTAAGTCCAAATGGATCAAAGATCACAACATAAATCCAGCCACACTGAACCTCTTAGAAGAGAAAGTAGGAGGTACCCTGGAACAAATTGGTACAGCAGAGCACTTCCTGAACATAACACCAGTAGCACAAACACTGAGATCAATAATTAATAAATGGAACCTCCTGAAACTTCTGTGAGGCAAAGGACACAGTCAATAAGATGAAATGACAGCCTACAAAAGGGGGAAAGATATTCATCAACCCCACATCTGACAGAGGGCTAATTTTCAAAATATACAAAGAACTCAAGAAACTAGTCACCAAAACACCAATTAATCCATTTAAAAAGTGAGGTACAGAACTAAATAGAGAATTCTCAATAGCAGAATCTAAAATGGCTGAAAGACTCTTAAAAAAGCACTCAACATCCTTATTCATCAGGGAAATGCAAATCAAAACAACTCTGAGATACCATCTTGCTCATGTCAGAAAGACTAAAATAAAAAGCACCAATGACAGTTTATGCTTGAAAGGATGTGGAGAAAGGGGAACACTCCTCCATTGCTGGTGGGAGTGCAAACTTGTACAGCCACTTTGGAAAACAGTATGGCAGTTCCTCAGGAAAATGGGAATCAATCTACTACAAGATCCAGCAATTCCACTCTTAGGCATATACCAAAAAGATGCACATTCATATTACAAGGACATCTGTTCAACTATGTTCATATGATTCCTACATTTCAGGCTTATTAAATTAATAAAATGTGATGAGTATGTTCCTTGAGACCAGTATGTGAAGAATAAATACTCTATGTCCTTCAGAAAAAAAACTGGAATATTATTCTGCTTCCTAATTAGATTCCTTCCAATATTATGAAAAAAATCTTTCCTTTTTCCTCAACAACTGATTAAGTGCATTTATTATAATTTATTAAAATAGTTGACTTAGGCAACTGCAATAATAGCTTCCACTTCCACTCCCAGCTCAGAACTGATGGAAAGAATCTGTTTAGCCATCAACGATGGGAGCTGCTTGGTGATTCTTATCAGGAAATAACCCCATGTCTTAGACCATCCAAACAAGCTGTTTCCTTGTAGTGATTTTCATTGTCTTTGTGGGCCTGCCAGCTGGGCCTTTCCCTTTTAGATTCTTTTTCTTTGAGCTTCTGATTGAGTCAGCTCATATCTTCTCACAGACTTCACATTGAGGCTGGAGATGGCAATGGGAATTCAGCGATTTCTGATCTCTAGTCTACAAATGTCTTTTTGTTAACCACAAAAGCAATAGCTACAGTGATATTTCTTGACTATGCTCCAAGCTGAGCAAATGGGGTTAAGTCAGGATGGGAGTAGACTGGAACAGCACTCCAAAGCTCCAGTCATTGCATCTTAGAAAGGCCTTCCAATATTCTCTCTCAAGCGCCATATGTAACCAGACTCTGCAGTTTTTTGTTTATGATATAATTTTAACAAGATCTGTTGTATTGGACTCTCTTTCTTTATGGAGGAGTTTAGAATGATGTCCCAAGTGTGTCCTGGCTAGCAGTACTCTGTTCATGGCTATGTCATGCTGTTAGAATTCCAGTTTCCTACCAAGGAAGCTTAAGCAAATGTTCGTACCACTTTTTGGTTGAACTGCCTCACTTATAAAATGGAAATAAGAATAGCCTTCATGATTTAATAATGGGCAATGTGCAGTTGATATTTGTTTATAAATCTTTAATGACTACAGTCTAGAAAGTGCCCAATAGATGCTAGCTCTAAACCATGAAGAAGAGAGAATATACATAAATCACTTAATATCATAGGGTTAATTACTGGTGACAATTGGGATTGATTTTGTGTTTCTCCTAATATGCTTGTCTTGAGTTAAAACTCAGTAACAGTAGAGAATACATCCCCACCCATCTCTCTTCTTTCATCTTCATTGCCAGATCCCTTGTTTGCTCATGATCAGAAACATGATAGGAAATAAATCTTGTCTGCCAAAGCTAGTGCGAACATGAAAACTACATTCATTATTCTGAAGGACTTTCTCTGGAAGGCATTGGAAACTAAAACCCTTGTGTTGTTTTAAACTTCAGATTCACATTTGCCTGCAATTTAAGTGTGTATGTAAGTCATCCTTTAGGTTCAAAATTCAGGAGTTCTTCAGAGATTTGATGCTAGTGCACATGGCCTTTGATGGTTATGAAGATGTTACCACCATTGGTGGTAAGTTACCTTGAGTCAGTCATTCTGAACCACAAAAATATTTCTTAGGAATGCTGAATTTCATAAATTTCTCCCCAACAGGTGACAACCAGAGAAAGTAAAGCAAAGAGTCTTAGGAAGACTTCCGAGTTTTGGGTTCAGGATAGTTACCATTAAATTCTATTGTTTCTTTGTACTTTATCCCTTGCAAGAATTTTGAAATATGGGTGCGAATACAAATAAAACACTAATTTTGTAATCACATTATTCCTTCTCTCTAGACATAAATTTCCATTGCACAATCTAAGAATGAAGTAAATATGAAGCTGTATATTGTGATCTGTCCCTTACTACCCTGATGTTTGTGAATAAAGATCCAAGAGAATCTAGACACACTAATGTGTTTGTAAATCTATGGCTATTTTTCTAGCTACAACTGCATAGTTAGTAGTAGTGACAGATACTGCAGGGCCACAAAACTGAAATAATATACTTTCTGGTTATTAAGAACAGCATTTGGTGGCTAGATGGTTTAGAGGGGACAATGTGGGGGAAGTTTTACAGTGTTTAGTGATCCAGTTCTCAAATCCTCCTTCATTTGACAGGAGCTGTGTAGTAAATACCATCCCTAGGCAAGATTAAAATTTTATGGAAACATACTGCTTGGTAAGTGAATTTAAATATTCAGTTAGAAAAAAGTTATTGTCAAACTCTGGACTATATGAGTCCCAAGTTTCTTGCCATCCTGGGTCTTCAATAATTCTGTGTGATGTTCACAACAAAATGGCAACACTTGACCTTTTTATTGTGGCTTGAGCATCACAGGATAATTACCTTTTTAATGTCTCTTTTTGCCTTTACTCTGAAACCAGCTTTATTTTCCTTTGCTTCTTGCTGGCTGCAAGAAAGGGATGAACAAGAATCATTTTTAGCACCAATGAATAGGATCTTAAAGAGAAAAAAAAACTCAGGTAGAATGTCCTATTTCTTCTAGCTCTGCTTCATTTTGTAACTGAAAGTAAAACAAATGCTCTCCTCTATATCTCTCTTCTTCCCTTTAACATTGCTTTTAAAATAATACATAAATGCTGTCACCCAGTGACAAATACATGTCCAACTGCACTTTTGATGAATAAAGAGTTGTCTTTCTTCCCAGAAAGCAAATAAAGAATGCTCAAACATTAACAAATTTTCAACTTGTGATCACCTAATTCCACCTTTGTATTAGTCATGGCGGTGACCTGGCAACAAGGAGAAATCACGACCCAGCACTTTTGTGTCATCAACTCTGGGAGATCTGATATTAGCATATTACCCTACATGATGGTGATATAAGTACCCTTCAGAACATTGAAACAGTAGAAAGAAAGTGCTGTCTGTGTGCGTGTTGATGATAGTACATCCCCCAAACCCAGAACAAAGAAAGACATTATCAATGTCCTGGAGCAAGCTGGCAATGCCACCCCTATATTTGACACGCAGCAGTAGTGGCTGCAGTTGTACTCACAAGAAGGCCTCACACATGGAGCAGGTGTTTTCATGGATCTTCCCATCCAGGCCCTCAATGGGGTCGCTCTTTCTGGTGCAGGGGAGCCGACCGTTTCTTACCTGGGCGCGGTATTTACTACATAGCTCCTGTCAAATGAAGATGGGTTTGAGAACCAGATCTCTACACGCTGTACCACTTGCTTCACCTTGCACCCCCTTTGAAAACTTGCAAAAAAAACATCACAGATTCACAGACAAACTGATATCAGATATGAATTTTAGCCCATACCCTGTTCACAGAATTAAGTAGCACATTATTTGGAATATAAGATTGCTGCTGTTAAAATGATTAGGAAATATTAAACATCACTTTGATATAGTAACTATGACAGACAAAAGGCATAATAATTTAATGTCTTAGGTTGATAGTGAAGTCTGTTGTATGCAGAATAATAGCTACTTTTAATTCCTAGCTCTCACATAAAATTCTATGCATGGCTGAATATGTCTGTAACTCCAGTATTGGGAAGAGACAAGTGGATTTTCTGTCCAGCTAGCCTAATGAAAGACCACGTTAAAGAGCAGTGAGCACAGGAGTCGTAACTGCTCATATCTAACCTCCACTTCCCACAGAGGAGAACAGCCACACATTCATGTGCATGTGCTACATACACACGCACACACACGCACATACACACGCACACACACACACATGAGAGAGAGAGAGAGAAGGAGAGAGATGGGAGAGAGAGGGGAGAGAGAGAGAGAGACAGAGAGAGAGAGAGAGAGAGAGAGAGAGAGAGAGAGAGAGAGAGAGAGAGAGCTACTACTACTACCAGCACCACATACACAAAGGAGAGCTTCCAAATAAGGGACTGCTAGAGCAAAGGAGTATATGAAAATTTGAAGTCCAGCCTATAGAATGTCAGAGAATAAGGATAAATAAGTGTAATAAGGAAGACAGACCATTTCTTTGACATGAGGATTCAAATATATGGTCCCAATTGGCAAAGTCATTAAGGATGCTGAGACGGACAATTTGGCCAAAGAGAATGAGGACTGTGCATGTGTGTTTCATGATAATATGGAGCAGATACCTGTATTACATCTCTCTTTGACTTTCCAGCCTCAGTCTTCTCCTTCTCTCCTTTTTTCTTCTCTTCCTCTTCTATTAGGCTGCAATAGAAGATACAAGCTAAATTCATTTCCTCAATTACTCTGACACTGACAGTTTTCCAGTAGGAATAGAAAGTACCCGATCACATCTCAGAAGTCCTGGACACTGGGCCAGGGAAATGGCTCAGCAGACAAAACTGCTTGTTGTGCAAACCTGGAACCCATCATGGAAGGAGAGAAAGTTGTCCTTTGAGCTCTGTATGTGCACTATAGTTCATGTGCACACTCACACACACATACACACACACATACAGGGACACACGTGTACAGATGATGATGATGATGATGATGATGATGATAAATATATAAAAGTTTTCAGGGCAAAAGGATCTGTTTAAGAATTGTAATTATTTTGGGCAATATGCAAAGAAATTTTCTCTGTTCCACTTCTTAGAATGCAGTAACAATGACAAAGGTATAACGATAATCGAGGCTATATAGGGAAAAAACAATATATTTATTTATCAGGGAGAGAGAGAGTCGCACATACCAGGAGTTAGAAGCGTGGCTGGCTTCCAGGAGAAAAAGAGGGAGGCCCCTTTTCCTTTCACTACCTTTTATCTCTACCTTGACCCCGCCCTGTTGGGCGGGTAGCTTTGTGGGGTTCACTCCTACAATTCCCCTTTTAGTCTAAATAGAAGATTTAAATTTGATACAAACTCAAACATATACAACATATATACATAAATTAATTAAGATTCGATCAGAACAGAAAACGTCTCAGGAGGAGGAAGGATGACAGCTCATCTACAAGGTCTGCTAAGCATAAGGAGACCTCATAAAAGGAAAGAGAAGTATTCTGTTTGTGTCTTTACAGGACAATTAGTTATGAACAGTGAAAAAATCCTAGGTATATGCATACCTAAAGAAGAAAGGATAGCTACTCAGAGGACCAACAAACATGAAATAATGTGATGTGTTATCAATGTCTACATCTCTGTATTGTGTTATTATAATTTCTATTTCTTCTACTTCTTAATATGCCTGAGTCCCAATTCATTTAATTATTGCTGGCTTTGGAGTTGGATTGGCTCTCCTACTTTAAACCCAAGCATATTGTTAAAATGTAATTCAGACTTTCTGTATTATATCAATGTATAAGAACCTCTGCTGCTATTATTTTCTGCAGGTCTCTGACTTCAATATATAATAAGCCATAATTATCTCGATTATTTTCTAAATTGTGAAACTTTTCCCTCCCAAGTAACTGTGATATCACTGACAATAGCAAGGAATGATGCCAAGTCAGATGATGACCTATCATGACACAAACTATCCTTCACTATAAAATAACAATTTAAATATTTTAACAGAGCCAATTACATTATAATTCTAATTTTAGTTGCAGTCATGACTGAAGCCCAGTAAGATTCAACAGTAAGCTTTATGACGTCCACAACAAGCCTAATATTCTAGGTTTGGCTTTTGATTTTGCTGTAATTTTGAGACAATATCTTGCTAGGTAGCCTAGACTGACCTCAAACTCATGATCTTCCTGCTCTAGCCTCCAAAGGCTGAAACTAAAATGTGGACCAGCAAGTCTATTCCCATTCTTGTCAATTTTTACTGACATATAACATGTCAGAATTCATAAATTATTAGCACTCACCTTATCTGATCATCACCATCAATGAGAGCAAATGAGACAAACCTGTTATTTCGTGAATTTTGGGCCATTCCTTATCCTATTGACCTACTTACACTGTCTCTTTTCCTAAAGAATTATAGGCATACACTTAGTAATGGAGCAATCTGTGACACTGAGGTAATCAATAAGATGTGTTTTACATAAATATAATCTGAAGGTAGGTAAGGGGACAGAGTGATGCAGTGCAAGAATTCCAGGCCCGCAACTTGAAGATAATCTTCCAACACTTATTTTGAGGTGACTCTCAAGAGGAGCATAGTCTTATGATCAACCTCAAAAGGTAGTTCCTGAGTCTTACTGGGCTGGAATCATGATTTCAGTATAAACTGGAACAGGGCACCTTCAATGTTGTCTCACATAAGAGAACTCTGGAATAGGTTTACCCATGTCATTCAGCAAATGAAGTCCTAGAAGGCCTCAACCAGCTTGACAAACACTAGTTTTTGAGCATTTTAGCTCATGAGTTTGTCTTTTTGAGGCTTTACTTTCCACAAAGGCACTTACCAAGGCATGTCTTTCACTGGCAGAAGGCAATGATATCCCTAAGAGGATAACTACAATGTTTTCTATTCCACTTCTTGGTCAGGTATGTTAACAGTCCTTGTACACTAGTCCCACAGTTCACCCAACTTTCTTTTCTTTCCCTGTATCTGAATATATTCATAGAATCACAGACTATCAGAAGAGAGAGGCCAAAAAAATACACCCCCCAAAACAAAAAAAACAAACAAACCCCAAAACAAAACCATCTGATCCAATGTGAGACTTGTGCTTTCTTTTTGTTGACAGTCAAGTATTATAAACATTTAGGGATGAGTCTAGTCAGTTGACATAATTAGAATACAGAAGGTACAGAAGTAAATAGAAAATGATGCCACCTTATTATTCAATATTACTGAATATCATGACCATCTGCTTTTGAGATTTTTCTAGCACACAGCCCATGGAAACTCAAATCCATGGAAGAATAATGGTGAGGGGTTAGATAGAGACATGAGAGCGCATACTCACAACACACTTGCACACATGGCACACTTGTTTGCATGTGTTTTTCCATCTGGGCCAAAAACAGGGTCATTTTCTCTGGTGCACATGAGCAGTCCATCCTTGGCTTGGTCCCGGAACTCACTGCAAATCTCCTGGAAAATGAAAAAGACGTATCTCAAGGCAGTTGCTTAATTTTTTGACTGTGAGTAATAAACAATGTTCAGTTATTTAGAAAAGCAAAAAAGGGAAATAGTAATGTGCAATAAATCATTAAGAACAGCTTGTCAAGAGCTCATATGCACAAGGGTTACTACTCATCTGTAAAGAACCCAGAAAACTTGAAGGTAAATGATGGGCCAGGCAGAACATGTTGGTAGATACCAATAAGAGACATTTATACGTGTGTTGTACTGCATGGTGCAGCCTGTGAAACCTATGAAAGATTACAGGGGCAGAGATTCAGTGAGCCTCAGGAGCAAGCTTTCCTGGAGGAACTGAGGTTGTCTCTTAGCTCTCATTTGTGTTCAGAATTCTGAGAAAAGGGAAAAACATGTTCAGCTAAGAAACAATTAGTGTTTGCATAAGAAGGAGAGAACAAGCCTGACATCTAGAGATTCTGACATATCCTCAGGAGGGGATATTCATCTGGGGATGGAGCATGCGGATGTGAACTAAATTAACACCATCGGAAGGGAGAGAAGGAGTGCAATTAAGAGCATCGGGGAGTATTAAACAGGACTCTATCTAATCAAATACAATGTGTAAGTCAAAACCTCAGATCTAAATTATTAATAAAAAGATATTTCCAGCTAACAAGACAGTTATTGTTTTAAATGAATCAGTTTAAAGTTAAACTTTTAAACTATGTCAACTTTCCTCAAATATTAAGTTTGTACATTCAAGGATGTTAAAAATACACTCTGGCTAAATCTTGTAAATGGCTATTGAGTGGAAGTAATCTGTCATCTACACAGACTTATTTGTCTTGGTGATCTATAAAACAGTTAAGGTTGGAAAAACAAGAAAGTAGACTAAGAGTGATTAGAAAGTCAAAATAAATAATAATGGGAACTGGGGTTAAGAACGCTAGTACTTTCCCCATGACATAGACGCATGACATTATGAGTTGGAATGATTGGAATCTTGTACCACCCACTTGATGCATGTTAAAGGTATGGATGATGCAAATTAATCTTAGTAGACAGCAGATGTTAAGTATTAACAATCTAATAAAGACCAAATGCACCAAAATAAATCCCTTCCAAAGAGCAGACCCTCAGGTTTTCCACTATAAATGAGCCTCAAAATTTGAGCAATAATGAAATAAAGTTGGTAATTTGGAGGCATCTAATCATGATCATTTTTGCATTATGAACTCCCCACCCCCTCTCACTCTCATACATTACCCACTGATCTTATTTGTTTCAAACTAATAAAAAGATATTCCAGGCTTGACTTTAGCTTCTTGACTTTAAATCAGGCCCCCAAGTAGCTGAACTAGGATGTGTGTGAAGGTTAAAAGTTTTGTTTGTTTCTATCAAGCATGAAGTTTAGACAGAAAACACTTTGTAGTGGGATAACTAGAACATCGTGCCATTGAGGAACCCAAACTGTAGCACGTGGCAACAGTAGATCTGAGAAAACTACCTTTGCAGCTTCTCTTTTAACCTTGGCTCTTGCTTTGTCTTCTTGAATACTGTGAATAAAGGGAGAGAAGGAAAATATGAAGAAACAAATTTTACCCCATAGCAAAGATCTACTATACTCATGGGCTCATTGTTCAATGTGTTGATTCTTTTCAGGCAACCCCAAAGCACTGCACATCAACCTTGTCATATCTGTCTGCCTGCCTGTCTGTCTGTCTATCCATCCATCCATCTATCCATCCATCATCTGTCTATCTATCTATCGTCTATTTTAGTTAATGAATTAGAATGGCTGTGTTCTCTCAAGAGCATGGTATAAAAGATGAGCCTTTCCTGCCCAACTGCAACTGTTCAGGATCTCCTCATCCAGAGTATATACCATCAATCACTGCAGCCACTGGCAATGGTCGTTCTGCTTATCTCCTGGATTATTGAAGTTCTGCATACAAGTGATCTCATGTATTACTTCTTTCTCTGTGTTTCCTGACTGGTCTACAACTGTTTCTATCGTAACAGTCACACTCTGAAAGCTCTCCACATGTTTTGTTGCTGCTTGTTGGTGTTTAAACATGACCCTCAAAACTGACAGACACCTAGATGAAGAGAATGCAGTTTTTAATCTCCATAAGTAGCCTCCCCACAAGTCTTTCCATGGTGGTTCCCATGCTCCAGACCCTCACAAGTCTGGGGGCCCCTGCTGCACTCACAAGAAAGCTTGGCACATGGAGCATGTGTTGCCATGGACTTTCCCATCTGGGCCCTTGATTGGGTCATTCTCTCTGGTGCAATATAGTTGTCCATTCCTTCTGACCTTTCGATATCCTTCACACAGCTTCTGTAAGAGCAAGGAGGAAGTTGGAGGTAATGTACACATGTTTTTTCAAAACTCAAAAATCACTGAAATGTGGATATTTATTTCTTAATAGAAGAGATGGTCTCTTTAACTTTAGGTTAAATAGTGGCTTACTCTAGAGTAGTTCTAAACTTTGAAAGAAGCAGAAACATTTTTAAGTAATAAAACTGGAAGGGATCAAGTTCATTATCAGGAATGGGCAAAACCAGCAGAGACAGCTAATCTGAACAGGGGAGAGCTCTTGGATCCCAGACTCACAGTGAGGAGGCCAGTATGGGACTGATCTGGACCCCCCAAATGTGAGTGTCAATGAGAAGGCCTGGGCAACCTATGGGGCCCTGAGCTGTGGATCAGTGTCTATCCCTGATATACAAATAGTCTTCATGTGCCTATAGCACAAAGAGGGATGCTCTCTCAGCCTGGACTCTTAGGGGAGTGCCTGGACCCTACCCAGAGTAAAATGACAGACTCTGATATCCCCTATGTGGAAGGATTTGGCAATAGGGTGGGAGGGTGGGGGGAAAGGGGAGTGGGGGAGGAGGGGAGGGAGAGGGAACTGGGATTGACATGTAAAACAAGCTATTTAAAATAAAAAAATTGAAAAAAAACTGGAAGGGAGGTGAGAATGTTTAAATAGGGAGGTGAGGATATTTAAATATATATATATATATTGTGTGTGTGTGTGTGTGTGTGTGTGTGTGTGTGTGTGTGTGTAAAGGTCTCAAGGCACTCATCACGAGGGTCACAGGAAACTTTCAGGAGTTGGTTATTGCTTTCAGTCCACCCTATCCAGGCAAGGTCTCATAGATTCTGCTGTTGTACCTCTGAACACTCCAGGCTATCTTGCTAAAGGTCTTCCAGGCAATTCCACTGTCTCCCCACCCCTTCTGCTACCCATCTTGCTATAGGAATGCTGAGATTACAATGGACCACATCCAGCATTATTCTATTTTGTTTCTTAATATAGGTTACACTCAAGGTGTCAAATTTGGCACCCAGCCTCTGTTCCTGTGAGTCATCTCCCTAGACCTAAGTATGGGTTTTAAGGAAGACAGCATTCAGCAGATAGTTTCTGTATTATCTCAATAGTAATGTAAGAGAAAGAACAGTCTAGAGGAAAAAGTGGGAGACTTTTATCATCAAAACAATAGGTGATGATGAGACTTGCAAGTCTCTGGAAAAGAGTATTGCAACATTTCAGACTCTGACCTGAGAGACTCCAAGCAGGTAAAGGCAGTTATCACCAAGCCTGATGACCTGAGTTCAATCCTCAGAACCCACATGGTAGGAGGAGAGAACCAACTCCTCCACGTTGTCCTCTGATGTCTACCCTCCACATGTGCTCCTGGGTAACTTTGCACCCACACATACACAGGAACATGCATGCACGTTCTCTCTCTCTCTCTCTCTCTCTCTCTCTCTCTCTCTCTCTCACACACACACACACACACACAAAGTAAATGTTAAACTCTCTTTTAAATCTTAACTCAGATGTGATGTTTCAAGAACCCACCACAAGAAGTGTACACGGAGCGATCCCCCAGAAAGAGGTACACAAAGACTTTTGTGTTGAAACTAGGAGTAATGCTCAAGTTTTCCCACTCCAGTGAGATCTTTTCACTTTACACTGTTTTCTCTTAACAGGAAGATGTATCAGTTTCACATAGCTTTAATTTCAACATCATTCCAGACTGAAGGATTATGACTTCCTGCCAGGCCCTTGCAGATGTGTCTCGTACAGTGATACACAGTTAAACGTGGATCCTACTTACGGCATATGTTGCTGAGTTTTCAGACTCTCTTCGGCTTCGGGCCTCTGCTTCAGCCTTCTTCTTTTCCTCAGTTTCTGCTTCGCTGAATGAAAAGAAAATAAATAAAATGAATCCACAGATTTCTGTACATTGCTCATTGCTTCCTCCTTCTCAGCCTGGGGGTGAAGGATTTTCTTCTTTATCACCATGTAGTAACAAGAAGTAACAGAACTGCTTGCGATAGGCTATGATCACATAACATCTTTAGGGCTTCCCCTATCAAAAGAAGGGTGGCAATAGTATGTCTGTAAAGTTGCTTTCTATGAATTATCTCTCTGTTTGTGGTGAGAAAAAGATAATCAGTATCCATGAAGGAAGAATCAAAACTGGAATCATGGTAACCTTATACCTGGAGGCTGAAGAAGCCTTTAAGAAAACATGCTGATACATCTTCACAATTGTCAGGGAAGAGAAGAGGCTGAATGGGCTCAGGTATGCTCTCAGATTAGAGTGCACCAATGCTGCCTCCCACATTTGTAGTATATCTCCTATATCATGTACCTCTTGTTTTCATTTACACTTAAATGCATTGCTTATACATGGCTGTTTTAACTAAAGTACAAAAGTGAAACAGATGGATATAATTCAATATATATAAAAAAACCCAAATTGCTTTGTAAAACAAAATTATATTGTATCTACAGTTAATTGATAGCATTTAAAACATATATGGTTAACAATGAAAACAAAAAAGATATGTTTGTTCTATAAATATAGTCAAATACTTAATTTGACTTCAGTGAAAAAATATGAGTAGCATTCTAAATTGTGAAACAGAGGTAGTAATTCTAACTTGCTAAGAAATTTCACAGCATGTGAAGTACCATTTATTGTAATTTTATAGGTATTTGTGGTTGTGTGTGTGGATGATATGCTTACTCGTGGACAACTTGACTCAATTCAATCCTAGTGTTAGAGCTTCATCATCTTAGATATGCCTAGATGGTTTGCACAGGAAACGCCAATTATTTGTACAGGTTCATTTTGTAACAAGGTTCCCGATTCAAAAACAGACAACAAAATACCTTGTAACAAGTAACTGCAAGATTTATCCCTACCTCTATATTACTAAAATTGTCCATGTGGCTTACTCAACTGCCTTGTTTATTATGAGTCAGTTTCCTATGAATGACACAAGCAGTCCTATTAGGTCATGTGTAAGGGTCTTCTTTCCTTGACACCTCAAAACTCTGTACTCACAAGAAAGCTTGGCACATGGAACACAAGTTGCCATGTGTTTTTCCATCCAGACCTTGAATGGGGTCATTTTCTCTGGTGCAGAAGAGTGTTCCGTTCTTTGCACGGTCCTGGAATTCACTACAGCGTTTCTGAACGAAGGACATGGTATATTTTAGGTGCAGCACTATGTTCTATGTCTGTATTTGTTAGCATTGCTTATAAATAAAACTGGGCATGAGGAATGAAAGGGGAATATCAATACTTTAAAGATTTAGGACACTGAAAAGGTTATAATTCTATCCTTGTGATGTTCATATGCAGCCACATATTCAACTAGTGTATTAATAGTTACAAATATGAATATGCTTTAGTTTCCTTTCCTAGACAAGTGGGGAGAATAAGTAATTACCATAAAAAACTTAAGGGATATGGCTGGGTCTGAATTATGTATATTATAATATAAAGGAAAGAATGACTCAAAAAAAGTTCCAAGAGCTTTCCATTGAGCTCTATTTTGAGGATATATTCAGGAAAAATCATATGGTAAATATTTTTTCCAAAAGGAATTATCAATGTCTTGGTTGTAGAGGCAATGACTAACATATTTTCTTGAGACAATTTGACATTTCAATTATTATGGCAATTCAAGAATTAGTTGGGTAATGATAAGAAGGTTTTGAAAGAGATTAAAAAGGTGACCCTAAAAGCCAGCTACAATATGCAAACATTGTGTGAATTTAGACTTTATTTTTATGAAATGAGACCATGATAGTTAAAGCATAACAGAATCAAGTCTTTGTTTTAAAAGTGTTGACAACCAGGTCTGTGGAGGATTTGAGTGAATAGAGATAAAACTTAAAGGAATTAATTAAATTATTTAAAGGGAACGAGGAAAAAGAGAAGGGAGATAAGAAGAGATCACAAATGAAAAATTAAAGAATAGTTCAACGCATTTAAATGGTAATATTAGAAGGATTTGGTAATCTAGATTTAAGAGCAAACTGGAAGGTGAAAATGAGGGCTAAGCATTTAGTTACACAGAGATGTAAGGCACCTTAATGCAGTGGGTTGCATTGTAGAACTATAATCTATGCATCAAGAAAACCAAAGAATTATGAGAATTGGATCAAATAGGATTTCTAGAGTCTTATTGAGGTTTTCTATTACTGTAATAACAGCATGATCAAAAACAATTGGGAAAGAAAGGATTTATTTCCATTTACAACTCGCAGGTCGCATGCCACTATTGAGGTAAGTCAGGGCAGGAATTCAAGGCAGGAACCTGAAGCAGGAATTGAAGCAAAGCCTTGGAGGAATACTGCTTACTAGGTAGCATCTCATGACTTCCTCATAACTTCCCAGGACCACCAGCCTAAGAGTAGCACCATTTACAGAGAGCTATCCTCCCACATCAATCAAGAAAAGGCTCTGTAGACTTGTCCACAGCCATTTTAGTGATGACATTTTCTCATCTGAGGTTCCTTTTCCCAAATGCCTTTAAGTTGTGTCAAGTTGATACAAAATTATCTAGCACACATACATTTAAGAATGTGGAATACTAATATGAGTATTTTCCTTCAAATAGGTGTAGAATTTTTAGCATTGTAATTCTGTTCTAAGTGTAGAACAATAACTAATAAAAATTTCAGGATTGGGGATAATATTAACTAATATTGACAATGCATTCTTCAGTGCCATGCCTGCACACATCCTGACACATGGAAATCACAGCCAGCTTGGATCACTAATCCTCACCTCAATTTCCATTTTAGCTTTAGCCTTTTCTTCAGCATCTCTCTGTTTTTTCTCTGCTTTACTTTTTTCCTCTGAAAATTGTCTCATGCTGGAGAAAAAAATAAATGAAGAGATAGCGTTTCAAATCATTTTGTTGCACAATATTCACTTGTACACATTGAGCATCTGAGTTTTCCTGATGATAGGGTATCCCATATCTTCAAAAATCCCTTTCGTTTTGCATGCTATACACACATACATGCACACAAGTACACACTTATGCGCACAATAATTTTCTGTCTTTCTTTTAACTCTCCCCATTTTTTTGGTTGAAATATTTTTTATTTTAATTTTAAATAGCTTGTTTTACATGTCAATCCCAGTTCCCTCTCCCTCCCCCCTACCTCATCCACCCCCCATCTTCCCCAGCCTCCCACCCTATCCCAACTTCCTTCCACATAGGGGATATCCAGAGTCTGTCATTTCACTCAGGGCAGGGTCCAGGCATTGCCCTAAGAGTCCAGGCTGAGAGAGCATCCCTCTTTGTGTTATGGACACACAATGTCTGTTTTTAAGTTATGTGTTTTAAAGGAGATATTCCAGGTTCTAAATAGAGATAAGCTTTATATCCTTTAAAATCTATTTTATTTTACTGAATGGGTTTCATTCTGTTTTGAAATCTGTGTGTATACAGATCCATGTGTTGCTTCACTTGTAGCTTTAAGTTTATGGAAAGCAGAGTCTTCATTTCATGTACACTCACCATTCAGTACCTACTTTGGGGGACAACAATGCACTGGAAAAACACTAGAAAACAACACAAACCTATCCATTGTTCTCTTAGAACTTATAGCCTTGGAAAGAACAGTAATAGTCAACTAATGATAATAGAGATAATTATATAATTGCTGGTTGTAATGTTGGTTATGAAAGACCATAACTAAGGATTATTATAAAAACTGATTTTCAACTAGGAAGTGGGAGGCTTTATCCAAGGAATACAGTCTTAACACAGAATTTACAAGATGAGGGGACTTTAACTGTCCCAGATACAGAGAGGCTTCATTAAGATGACATGGAAGAAAGAGTTCATGGAACTCAGGTCCATGTGATTGCTCACACTAGTAATACAGCATTTGGAGGCTAAGGTCAGAGGCTTGTCACCAGTTTGAGAGTCATCTGAGATAGATATGAGTTCCAGTCTAATCTGAGCTACAGACTTCTCTCAAAAACATCAAGCAAACAACAAACCATGAGTTCAAACTCATAGATCTGAAGGTGTAACAAGGCCTGTATGATCTGTGTTGTGGATTTGACCTTTGTCTGTGACTTATAGTTTCATATGATGTACCATAAATGTAGAGAATTTTTGAAAGTGTCCTATCCACCCTGACACATTGAGTTATTTACTGAATGTAAAGTCTTTCTGCATTCTAAGACTAGGTCACTAAAACCGTCACAAAGGCACAGGACTCATGAGTGTTACAGTGGGTGTTGTAAACCTGCCTTCCAACTGGAAAATGGAATTAGTTTGTACTCAGTAAGATATAAATCTGTTCAAATACATCACCATGGCAAAAACCCAAACTCACAATTGCTTTCACTCATCCATCAGTCAGCTTCTCCACCTTCTCAGTGAACTGAGGAGGGGCTGGGGTACTCACAATATATCAGCACACAGAGCACACTTGTTCCCATGCATCTTGCCATCAGGGCCACGGATTGGGTCACTTTCTCGGGTACAAAAGAGTCTTCCACTTCTCACTTGATTTTCAAATTCCTTACAAAGTTCCTTTGGGGTGGGGGAAGAAAACAATCAATTTTATTTGTCACGTTTATTATTTAATCTTGGCATTTTAAGTAACAGATTTATAGTCAAGAATGACAAATCTGGGAATGCTGATAAACACAAGAACTATCTAATGAGAATTATCTAAAAGTGAACTATTTTTGTCGAGTTAACTGGCACCCATAACATCTGTGTGGTATATTAAAGTAAAAGAGCTGTGGAAACAGCAAGGCTGAGCAACTGTTTCCTAAAACTAAAAGCAGTTCTTATTTCTTCAAATATTCAAGGAAGTAAAAAGTCTTTCATGATATTCTCACACAAGCCCAACAGAATGAAAATATTGAAATATGAAAATAGTTGTTTTAATGTGACTTGAAAATCAAGAGCAATTTAACGTCATTTGCAAAGAGACATGAGCAAGTTGGTATCTTGCCATAATGTGTATGTTGCTTCCTTTGACTGTGATCATTTCTGACTCTGTAGATGATAAATTCACTCAGAAAGAGTGAATGTAACTCCCTTTGCCATGACCTATGTGAACTCTACTCACCTAGAAATTCCAAAAAATAAATGATTCAAAAGTGTAAGACAGATTCATTGCTAGGCTTCTTGATTCTGGACCTCCAGAATTCTATTTGGTAAAGAATGATCACACACACACACACACACACACACACACACACACACACACACACACACGAATGCACACACTACTAAGCATGAGGACATCTATATGAACTAGAATACCTTGTTTTGCTGTAGCCTAATCTATAAAAACAATAACTAATGTGTCACCTTAATTTTTCTACCTCATCCAAGACAGTGTAAGCAGCAGGCAGAGTGCAAGAGTAAAGAGACATTGGAGACTGACTGTACTGTGCATCTAACTCAGGGGGTGACTCTCACAAAGTCATTGTATCTTTGGAACTTCCATGATGCCACCCATACAGTGAGATTTTTCTAGCTAAGTATTTTGATTGATATTTGAAGTTCAAATTTTTTTCTGAAGATGCTGTTTAAAAAGAATCCTTTCTGCACTCAATAAGATACTTATTTTGAAAGGAGAGATGTGCATTGCTACACTTTCTGGGTAACAGACTTGGAAAAAGCAGCCACCTGATAATCATAACATGATCATAAAATCAATGCCCCATGATTTCCATAACAGCAACAATGATAATTTCAGTTTATAACTTATGATTCATCCAAGAAGATTCTAAAGAAGCACTTTGTGAGCAACCCACTGACAGGTTAATTACAGGGCACACATTGAGCCATCACTGAAAAATAGTCCTGCTCAGCCCAGTGGTGCCTAATGACTCTGGCCACCAAGAGGAAGAGGCTAGGATGCTTGGGGCTTGCTGGAAAACAGCCCTGTTTACATACAATAGATGGGAAACATGACAACCTAGCCCAGAGCTCCAGGCTGAAATGCACAAAGTCCACAAAAGGCATTGTATTCCATCTTTGGCTAGTGGTCCATGGAAGATTCCAGGTATTGGAGGTAAAAACACAACACAACCAGAAAGTAAGATTGAGGTTTTTTTTATCCAATGTCCTTATTTTTTGACAAGAAGATTGAGGCTCACAGAGGAGGGACTTGTCTCTGAATACCCACAGCATGGCAGAATGGCTACCAAAATCCAGGTGTCTCCTCTTTCTAGCAAAAGGCCAGCCAATTAGCTAACTCACTGCTATCCTTCCCATTTGAAATAGGTGTTTAATAACCCTGGTGATTTAAGAAGCCAAGGCTGAATGTATAACATCAATAAAATTTAATTTTAAGAGTATTTTTAAGCTACCAACTCAATATTTGAGGGCTTTATTTAAGCAGAATAAAATTATCAAGAAGGGTCTTATTGAAAAAAATGGTCTCATTTAAAAGTGAATAACTCCATTTCTTTCAACAGAATTTCAGAGTAAAGCACTGTTAAATACACTGCTTAAGAGAATACACTACCTAAGAGGTTTAACTATATAAATTTTCCTATCCAATTTATACTATGCCACACATTTTAAAAATGTATTCAAAACAAAATGTTTGCACTATGAGAGAGAGGGGAGAGCTGTTAGAAACAGACAGAATAACCAAACACAAAGTGTACTGGTATATGTGTATGAAGAGGCAACCAATATTTTTGTATGCTAACCAGAATAAAAATTAATAAAAGGAAAGGGAATCAACAGAATTTTGTGTGTAAAATTTCTTTTTCTCTTTCTTTTGTGAGGGGAAGAAAATAAAGGGTAGGAATGATATGAGAGAAGCTGGCTTCAGAAGAGCCTGCTGACAACTAGACTAAGAATGGTATATTTGAGGGATCTTAATTAATATGGGGTGCATGCAGTAGCATGAGACAAAGACGTTATTGTGTTCCTTCAAAGGTGCAAGCGCGATTTTGACCATGAGTGTGGCCCACACGCTACACTGTAGCACTGAACCATTCACCTTCTCCGCGTCTCTCCGAACTCTGCTTTCTCTGTCACGGGTAGCATTTTCCTGAGCTTCTTTTAAGCTGTCAAGGGAACAGAATCCGCTTATGGTTCGGTCATCTCTTCAGTGTCCACCCTGTTCCAAGCACCGAACACTTCCACATCCTTTACCATAACCTGTTGAAACTGATCCACTCACAGGAGGCAAACACTTCCCTGTCTTGGATGCTGGCAAGCAAGAAATTGCCAAAGATAAGGACGGGTGTGAAGCTGACTCACTGCCAGTCAATTAGGAGCTTTGTTCTGTAGAGCCAGATGGGTGTGCCACCTTGAGTGACAAAGAGAAGATTGCCAGGAAAATTCCCTCTAACATGCAGAACCAAGCGCCTTGAAACAATGCTATGACCAGAGTGAAACCAAACTGAGCCTTTCCGGTATTGCCACACCACACCCTTCTGGGCCATATTTTAAAGCCGATATTGGTTTGCCTTCATGTCAAAGCAGGGTTATTTCTAAAAGCTACATTTGAAGTGAGCTTTTGAAGCTCATCTATGACCCGCTTATAGTCTCACTCTACTCTCCCAGGCTCATCTTGCAGGAAATTAGTCTAGAAAAGTCAGGCTCTCCTTTTCTATTAGGACATACATGGATGAACAAATGAACCCCAAAAGCTACAGGATTTGTGGCAGTTTAAGCACTGAGGACTCATGCCTCCTAGGTAAGAAAGTGTCATGATGGACACCTGGATAAAGGTGAAGCCAATAGCTCTACTTTTAGATAACCCTCACCTTCTACACCAAGAATGAGTCCAGATGCCATATCATCTTCACTAAATCTCACCATTATTGTTATTACTTTATAATACTATTGAAAATTAGGTGTCACCCTGAGGCATGAGCCCAAAGAAATCCTGCATGTGAAATGACCAATTTTGATTATCCAATGCTTAAGTGCTCCCGAGTCAGTGTAACTATTTTATTTTTTTATTTTTCATTTTATTAACTTTTCCCCTCTTCCTCCCATCCTCACATGCCCCCCACCGATCCCCTCCCTCCTCCATGATCTCCCCATGGAAGGCCTCACTCTCCCCGGGGAGTCCTACCATTGTTAAATCAGTGTATAAGACATTGGATATCATTACAGCACCTAAACAAAGTATGCATTAACCAATTCTCCCTCTTTATTTGCTCCAGCATTGCCCCCCAAGTCTTAATGTATTATATTATAAAACACTGTGTGTTTTTTAAGGCATCATACGTTTTAAAATGAAGTTTCAAATTTTTCTTTTAGAAATATTGTAGCAAAATGAATGAAGCAAGAAGTCCATCTTGTAGCTAGAACTATCTTGCATAATAAAGGCAAAGGGTCGTGTGCATCATGAGGATGACCCTATCACTCTAGGGCTCTCAGGGCAGGAAATAAGGGCCTCCTCATGAGTCCATCTGGAGATGCTACTTACAAGAGCTCAGCACACATGGCACACCTATTGCCATGGGTCCTTCCATCGGGTCCACGGACAGGATCACTTTCCCTTGTACATCCGAGTCTTCCGTCTTGCACGTAGGCCCGGAAATCACTGCACAGATCCTAAAGGAGATGTAAAGGAGATGGCACATAGAGGTGTGACTGGGTGCTTTATTACCACACTCAGAAAACACTAGTCACATGAAGACAGCTTTGGAATCTGTGTAACTCAGGTTTAAGCACAGAACCATTCACTTTCTCATTCACTTATTTGAAAGACAGTCACAATTATGCTAGAACTGAAGTAGACCACTGTGTTTGGTCTCAAACTGGTCCCAATGTCCTAGATGATGTAGACAAAGACCCTTAAAGTAGCGTAAACCAAAAGCCTTGATGGAAGACTGGGAACTTCAGTATGAACGTATAAAACAATAAAAATAAGGGTAGGTGTTCAACTAGAAACTTAAGTGTGGCATGTTTGGCACTTTCCAACCTCCCCCTAACATCAAAAGCTCATGGACTCTTAGCTAGAAAATAGCTACTTAGTCTAAATCTCATTTCCTTAAATGATTAATTCAAGATTTCTGATAGTGAGGTTTCAGCTGTGATACAGTGATTGCCACCTAGTGCCCATGCACTTCTCAGATGATGTCTCTAGTTTCCTTCCTTCTTTCCTTCTTTCCTTCCTTCCTTCCTTCCTTCCTTCCTTCCTTCCTTCCTTCCTTCCTTCCTTCCTTCCTTCCTACCTTCCTCATTCTTTCACCCTTCCTTTCTTTTTTCATCTTTTTTTTAAATAGCAGAAATAGAGCTAATCTGTCCTACTACCAAAGTAAACTAATGTGGTTTTAAGAAGTCAACTGTTTTTTTTTCTCCATGTCAACAGGAAGTATGCAGAATTTCAGTCAAGCAAGAATCACTCCTCCAAAGCATCCCAACCTAAAAAGAAGCAAAGTGGCTTTTGTCTTTACTCAGTGGTTCTCAACCCAGAGGTTGTGACACCCACAGGGATCTCACATATCAGATATCCTGCCTATCAGACATTTTACTTTACAAGGCATATTAGTAGCAAATTTACAGTTATGAAATAGCAATAAAATAACTGTACAGTTGGGGTCACCACAACATGGGGAACTGTATTAAAGGGTCGCAGTGGTAAGAAGGCTGAGGAGCATGGCTTCACACTGAAGCCGGTGCTTCCCCAGACTAGCACATGTCCTTACCTTCTCGAAACTGCTGCCGTCACACTCCCCTTCACTTCTAATGTCCACTTGCTTCTTGCTTTTCCTGGAATGAAAATGTTTGTTGACACAGAAATTAATATGATAGAATTGCCCATCCTGTCCACCTTATCATTATAGTCTAATGGCTTTTGTATCTGGAAACACTGTTACATTTTATTCTTTACTTAGCTTGCATTGTGAAAACTCCCATTTATAACTTTAAAAATAACAAAGAAATGGAGTCATGTTGGAGGGCTTAATTTCAGGTGTACAGTAGATGGTTGGTACTTCGCTAAGAACTTTTTTGTTTGTGGTTGCTGTTGTTAATTTTTACAAGAAGTTCAATCTTAATTTGTCTGTTTTTTATTATAGGACTCTTATGCTACCTTATTATATTTTATTTTTTATGAAAAGTACATAAAGTCTTATTATTAACTTTGCTCAAACTGGTAGCACCTTAAAGAATATAAAAAAAACAGAAGCTAAATGTAAAATAATGCCTACTTCTATGGAAGAAGCTTGTAATTCAGATTCTGTGTATAGCAATAAAAACACAAATCTCAGAAAAAAACTTAAATGAAAGGGTAAAAGGACAACAGATTTTAAAGATATGTAGTCTGATAGAAAATATTAAAAGTAACTGGGAATATTGTGTGAAGGCTTTTGGAGACAAGAACAAGAAACATTAGTGAGTCATTGTTTGCTTGGAGAAAGTATCACATGAATCAGAGATTTAAAAATTTACTCTAGGAACTCTCACTTATGATATAGAAAGAGTTAAATGTTCAGTGTGTTTGAAGTACTCTTATAAAATGTATGCCTTAGAAAATACAGAATGCCCTTTATTTGCCTGTTTAGCTTTTCTATTTTAAAACTGTGTTGCATTCTTCATTTGTTGCTTTATTTATTTACTATTTAGTGTGACAACTGAGGTGTGGATGTTCCTGGTACAGAATGTAAGCAGAGTCAAGAGTACAGCCTACTAGAGTTTGCTCTAGGGATGGAATTCAGGTTGTCATCCTTGGTGGCCACTTCACTGACCCTGGGTTTTATATTTCTTTATATTCTCTCTTGGTGACTGCTGAGAGCAGTCTGCAAATGCAATCATGGATTAGAAAGGCTAACTGCAGTTTTTTGGTGAGAGCCTTATTATAAAAGAAGGAACAAAGCATTAAGAAACTCAAAGAGAGCTATTACCCTACTAGCCTTCTTGAACGTTACTGTGTTTTCAGAAACAAAAGAGCAGTTCATTCCAGTTTGGGGTCACAAACAAAGGCTGAAAGGCAGGTGCACATCTTGTTGGTAAAAGAAAATTAATAACAATAAGGAGCATTGACGATGGAGGGAGAACACAGAGTATGATGTAGGCCAGTGAGATATGATATCTGTTTGGCAAAGAAGTTCAATATTCAAACATCCAATTACATGCTATATGACATTTCAATTTCTTGGTCACTTGAATGTTATTTGGTGATGACACTCTATACATAAAAAATATAATCAGAGATTAACAGGTTGATAGATGAGAGTATATATATATATATGTTTGTGTGTGTGTGTATCATCTATTTATACGTATACATATGCATTTGTATTTGCATGTCCTGTGTACATCACAGAGACTGTGGTAATTGTCAAAACAATTGCACTCAGCAATGCTTTGTAAGACACAAATGAAGAAGTATACCCAGTTTGTTGGAGATTAATCTATAGCAAATGAAGTATAACTACTACAGGGAAAACATGACACATAACTGCACAGACATCATGTTTACTTCAGAGAATACTCACTCATTTTCAGCACACAGCTCACATCTGCTGCGGTATGTTTTCCCATCTGTGCCACAGACTGCAGAAGCATCAGAGCTACAGACAAAACCCCCATCTTTTCTTCCTTGCTTGAAATCCTCGCAATTCAACTGCAAGAGACATAGTCAAAGTATGTCAAAAAGTCAGGATACTCCTTAGATACATAAATAGGTTATAGTATCTTAAACCCAGACTATAACTCACTGCAGAAAAATATAAATGTAGAGATGGGCAAGCTAATAAAAACATGGACAATGAAATGTGGTCTGAAGGCAGAGATAGGATTAGATCTGAAAAGAAAAGATTTGGGTATGGTTTTAGCCACCTGCTATCTGGGTGCAATAGGCCAAGCCCTCATTAATGAAACTGAGCACACTGTGTCTCAGCCAAATTCTGTCTATAGCCTCCACAGAGTGTTAATGAGCCCCAGAAGATAATGGACGTGGAAGCCCTCTGTAAATTACAAGCTAAAGAAAATGCCCTATTATGATACATTAGAATGGCGCTTAAGCCAACCTTCCAGCTTCCCAATTTCACTGCTTCGTCACTGCGTGATTTGAGCAGGTAATTTAGCCAATCTATATTGAAGAATCCTCATTTACAACATGGGTATAATTTCCTCAACTGTTGATGCTACAAAGATATTCAAGTTTTTAATGTAGGCAAGTAATTAGAACAATCCGAACACAAAAGAATGGTTTGTGATCTTGTTGTTATTTAAAATGCTTTGTCTACTCACAACCAGGGAACGTGAACTAAATATCCGTCAAGGGTGATGACAGAAATCTCCAGGTCACTGCTGTAATAGCTTGACATATGCTTGAGGACAAACCTGTATAGTGAGAAAACAACTGTGCCTGGCAGTAACTGAAGACAAGTGTTCCAGCTTCTGACCTGCTACCCACTCACTTTAACTCTTTGAACCTCACTTTCTTCATGTGAAAAATGGGAATTCACACCCAGCCCACATTCTGTATCCATGGTATGGATCAAAGAAAAAATTATGAAACATGATTTGGAAATAATTATTGTGACATAACCTAATCCAAAAAAAAACCATGTAGTTTAATTTGAGTTTAACTTCCATCTAAAGCCTAATCCATTTAACTGTTAATATCACATTGAAAATCAAATTTTAGTGCCTGAAAATATTTTGATAGAATATATGGAACATGAGATGTGTGCCAGTGATGATTTAATATACAGCAAACATAAACAATAGAATGTATGCAATTATAGTGAACTTATCAGTTAGAGGATCAGTTGGAGAATTCTAGAGGGAAAAAGATTAGAGTTGTAAGGGAAACTACAGCGTGGTCCTACTATCTGGACCATGTGTTTCAGAAGATGTTACAGAATGGAAATAAAATTATATACATATATTATTTAATTCATTTATTTTCTCACTTATTCTAGAAAATTCATTGCATATTTCTAAGACTTTGCATAATAAACAGAACTAGAATACTCTTCTAAGGGGCTTAATATGCTAACAGGAAGATCACAACAATGTAAACAACAGTTTTAGATCATGATAAGTGCCACAAAAAAAAAACAAACCAAAGACTGTAACACAGATATAATACACTTCACTAAAATGTCAATGTGCCAGAAACATCTTTCTAAACAGGTTATTTTTGCACTGAAATGACATTAGTGAGAAGGAGCCAACCCTCAACGAGTTGAGGGAAGTGGAGGAAAGGGCAAGGCTTTGTGGTAGTGGGGTCGTGCTGTGTGAGCAGCAGAAGAAAGTGTGGTTGTAACAGAGAGAAAAGGCAGGTGAGCCGCCGATGTTCCCTGAAATGCCACTTTTGGTGTAGAAGCATCCATAGGAAATTGTGGATCACAGTGGCTGGAACAGTTGTGGCCATTGCCCTTCACCAGAAACACCAAGGGCAGCGTACTAGGACACAGGTGTTGGCTGGGGGATGACAGGGTGAATCAAAAGGCCAGCTGGGAGATGACAGAACAGGTGCAGACATTCATTACTCCACCTCCTCGCCCTCCTGACTCCAAGGTTGGTGAGTCACAACCTACAGAAAACACCTCCTCCTAATGCTGATAATTACTGACCTCTCACAGATGGATCCTGACCAGGAAGAGAGGCAGCAAACCGGGCCAGGTTCCAGAACTTTCAGCTCTTGCTTACTCTTTGTCCTAGCAATCCACTCACCAAAAGCTTGACTTTGGAGGTTGTTAGCTTGTTTTAGGAGGAAGAAAGCTAGAGCTGCTATGACATTTAATGCTTAAAATATGTGCATGTCTCAGAAATAAAGCAACATCAAAAAAAGACTATCCACTGAAAACTGTGAATCTGTTGAAATGGAAATTTTGTCAGGATGAACAGAAATAATTCGCCAAAAGTGTAAGATTTCTACAGAAAAGTAGAAGATGCTTTATGTATGATACAGGACGATAGAATTCATATGTAAACAGCAATATATAATAGAGTGTTCATGCTTAGAAACTATTTAAATGGTAACAAATAAAACAATGTAAAGAAGACATGTGGTATAGGTGCAAACAGACAACGAATTTTGAACTAGAAGTTCAGGTCAAGGGAATCTTCTAAAAAGCAATAGCACTGGAGACTTTAAAACACAGAAGCCAAAGGAAAACAAAGAATAATAGTTTCACAAAATGGGAGGAATAGAAGTGCAAATGCATTAATAAGTAAAGAAAATTCATAGATACTGTGAATACTTGAAAGATACAAGCAGCTGTATCAGCAGAGTGCTAAAAGCGAGTTCATCAAAAACTGTGGAGGCATAGCATGTTTTCAGAATATAAGGTGAGAAATAAGTTCACATTATGAAAGAAGACAGACATCAGCAATCAGAGACAGATATAAGCTAAATTATAAATATTTGAACATATGGATTTTAGATTTGGGACAATCATAATTACAGTATAAGTGAGTATGTTACATTTAATGACCATCAGTGGGAAGTAGAAAATAATAAACTAACTTGAAAATAGTTTAAGAAAGCATAAATAACAATTATGAAAAATGACAGAAACAAGTTGTACTATAACAGAAGTAAGAAAGAAGGTGAATTAATTAAACCCACAAAGTAAAAATATATAGTGTTTGAGTCATCCAAAAGTAGTATCAAATCACATATTTTGATGATCATGGGGAAAATTTAAAATTCAAAGGTTTACTGTGGTTAAGCTCACTGGGTTACAAAAATACAAATATTAGGATTGTGAGGGAGGGGAGGTAAACCTGAATGAGAGAGTAATGGGTGGGAGGAGATGACAGCAACCAGAATGTATTATATAAACACAAAGCATAAGTCAATAAAAAATAAAATTATACAAAGGTTGTTTTCTGGTAGGCTACTTCATTAGATAAATTATAAAAATCAAACATATAAATAAATGTTGTGTTCCTTTTGAAAAATTAGATAAATAAAAGAGAGATATAAATATATAAACATGAATGAGTATACAAATATTTAAAATTAAAGTAAGAAAAATATTCAAGAGAAAAGGAATAGGCAGAGAGTAGATGCAACAACCCTAACACTTATAGAGTACACTACAGTCTGAGTGCATTATTAATGATAAATAAGACCATTGTATAAAACAGAATAAGGAGACAAGGATGTGTAACCATAATAAACATACACTCATAGTAACCATAGGCCCTCTTTTCCCATAACTCAAACTACATAACTCAAAATATGTAGTAGCAATAGCTCAACCAGTAGCTAGAATGGTAGGCTTTAGCAAAGACTAAGGAACTATTCATTAAGAAAGAAAAAATGATTAATCTTGTAGATTTTTTGAAGAAAACCATATAACAGAAACAAAACCAAGCATTACTATCTTATAAATCTTGAAGCAATTGTCAAAGTAAATTATACCTTAAATCACAAAAAGCCAAAATTCCTAAATGACCATTGTCATATGGTGTATTTCCTAACCAAATGTCATTAAATTTTAAACCTAATATAATAATAACTCTATGAAAATAAAACGAAGTACTCTATTTCTTTGAATTAGAGAGTATTATTGTTTAACTGATATTATCAAATTGAAATGCCTAAGGTAAGAATCCTGAAACTGTCAATCATATATTTTATAAATGCTTATTTGTCAACAAATGCTAATGAAGTTAGAGGAATATTTTTACATTGCTGGTGGAATGTAAGTTGAAACAATCATTATGGAAATCACCATGTAGGTTTCTCAAAAAAAACTAATAAGAAAATACTATATAGAATCAGCTATCACTACTCCTGTGAACATACCCAACAGTCTCCAGCTAAACTTGCACAGCCATGTTTTTTGTTTCTTTGTTTTGTTTTGGTTTGGTTTGATTTTTTGAGACATGGTTTTTCTATATTGCTTTGGAGGCTGTCCTGGAACTCACTCTGCAGACCATGCTGGCCTCAAACTCACAGAGATCTGCCTGCCTCTGCCTCCAGAGTGCTGGGATTGAAGGCATGTACCACCAATGCCTGGCTCTGCCATGTTTTTTATTGTACTAGTCACAATAGCTAAGAAATGGAATCACCCTAAAAGTTCATCAATAGTTGAATGGGTAAAGAAAATGTGGTACATAGGCACAACAGAATTCTATTAAGCTTGTAAGGATGAAATAATCACATTTTCAGAAATCAAGAACACAACTGGGCAACTTTATGTTAAGTGCTGTGTGTATGAGTGTGTGTATGTATGTGTGTGGTGTCTGTATGTACATGTATTTGTGTGTTTCTGCTGTTTGTGTCTGTTCATTTGTATGTCTGTATCTCTGTATGTCTGTGTGTCTATCTGTATATGTGCATGTGTATTGTGTTTGTGTGTGTGCACATATGTCTCTGTGTCCTTTTGAGTATATGTGTGACTGTGTGTGTCTTCATGCATCTTTGTTTCTGTGTGTGCATATGTGTCTGTATGTGTCTCTGTGTATACATGTACCTCTGGGTAGTGTATCTGAGTGTGGATGACTGTGTGTGTGTCTCTGTGTGTATGTGTGTGGGTTTGTATGTTTGTCTTAGTCTGTACATCTGTGTGTAATGAAAGTAGAAAGCAGTTGTGGGAGACAATTAAGAGAACTGAAAGGATGGAAGAGGAAAGTATTAAAAAGTTGACAATGATA